TATCCTAAAAGATGGCATTCACTTTAATAAACAGTAGAAACGTAAAACTCTATCTATCCTATTACACGGTTTTGCTTAATATGAATATTGAGAAAAGAAGATTTATAAAAATACGTTTTTAAATACTTCATTAAAAACATTTCAGTAGCTACTAAATCCTTCAGTAACTTTCGTAGCGGCACCGCTACATTCAGCGGCATCCGTAGCACAGGCTTTCCCGTTCGTAGCAAGCTCTCGTAGCTACGGGGTAGTTCCGCTTTGTATTTACGACTGTAGATTGAGGCTCCAAGCACTTCCTATGTCCCTGGTAGAGTAAACCACAAGCACTACGGGACGTCACCATTAAATGGCTTTTTTCGTAATATGGGGACACTTAACTGGAAAACCCAGGAGAGGAAAATAAACGGCAGTTAAAAGTTACATACTTCTGGTAACTGGTTGTTGTTTTAATATTATTATAGGAAAATAATTTAGAATGAAAAAATCATGTTCAGTTACTTGGTTTATTTTAAATTACTAACTATTGTGTTTTACGATTTTACAATGATTTAAAGATCAAAATATTATTGTTTTTGATTTTTAAAAAGAGGATTAATGCTCTATGTTATGCACAATTTTAATATGTATAAAAAATTAAAACAACCATAATAAGTTGATGTGATTTGGGGAGTTCAGTGGGTCTAGACAAAGTGCAAATTATAATCGCAAACCAGTCGAAAAGTGGTCGAAAAGCCCCTTTTTTGTATGGAGTTTTGACGGATTCGATTTTCGATTTGATCAAAAAGTGCGTTTTGTCTAGGGGGGCAGATATAATTTAAGTATCTACCATTCTTTAGGTTGTACCTCTCGGTTGTACTAAGAAACCAGAGTTATTTGGAGTTAGGGGTCTAAATCTAGACTCTAGACATCGAGCCACCTCTTCGATTTTGATGAAATCCTAGTATTTAGGTAGGTACAGGTATGTGTAGATAGCTCCAAACGGTCTCACACAAGGATAGCGCACACACATTCATGTACCTACGCATGGATCATGTTTAGGCTTAGAACGACGTATGTGAGTATATTATACGTATGTATGAGTATGAGTAATGAGTATGTTTACAGTTACCCGAATCACCGATTATTGTAGTACATAGTTATTAGTGTAGTTGTAAGTCAGAATAACTTATTTTGATTAAAAAAATTGTTTTTTAATTTGTGTAAATAAAATGAAAAGAGAGTAACGCCCGTATTCACAAAAATTACTATGAGATCTCACAGTGAGCGTGGACGCACAGGGTGACACACGAACCAATCAAAGAGCTCTGTTCAATGCTGTGCGTTCAATTTGCTGCTTCACTTAAGGCGATTAGAGTCCTCAATGACCTTGGGCGTTTGACCTTCACGCCGCGAGCAACACCCGCGTACCCCGCACCAAAAACTCCGATTTGACNAGTGTGAAAAGGTTTACTTACACGTGATTGTAGCAAAAAGATGAAAAAAAGTACATTATCGTACAGTCGACAGGAGATCGTTATACGTTTTTGGAACTAAATAGCACTTATGGTAACTACATAAGACCATGGCGTTTGTTCAGCTTGATATCTGTACCTCTAGCACGAACAACTTTCGTTGTTCGTGCTAGAGGCCAGCCTTTTAATTCAACGATAACGAAATGAATTCGAAGGTTGGGCATCGATATCGAATTTTGTCGAATACGCAAACGATTCGATGACGAAAGTTGTTCGAGTTAGAGGTACTGGTCGTCTGTTCAGTCAACATCACATCAGACTATACATTTTTGTAGCAAAACAGCACTTAAAACTACGAAATAAGACGCCTCAGTATTTAGCTTGAAATGAGTTCGTCAGTAACATAACGAGCTGAAAATGAAAACGTGGAGAATTGGTTCATTGACATCGGTGTGAGACAAAGAATGGTTTCAGTTGGGAACTTGCCAATACAAGATTATTTGTGAAACCTTTTTTTATTAAAACACTCTGTATCCAACTGTTTGTTGTGAAACATACTCAATGTTACTTTTAAAATATCTGGAATAACTGTGTATTTACGTGCATAGATACACACATTATTAAAGGACAAAAATCTAAGTTTTTATCTTACGAAGCTTAATTTACCAACTCAACGTAAGGAAGGAGAGTCAAGAAAGACCTTCGTTATGAATTCATAACAAAAGAAATGCAGGAAATACATTTTATAGAAGTTTATTTTAATTTGAATTAAAATAATAATACCTAACCTTGTCGGCTTAGGTTCAATTTACTTAAAATAAAATCTAAATAATCACAATGACGATAATTGACGTCTAAGCAACAGCCTTTTGCGAAAGCGTTAAAAAGGTAATAAATCAGCCGGAAAACTTTCACCTAACGATATTCGGGTGCGCAAAGAATAATTGACTTAATTTCAAACGTGGTAATGACGAATTTAATTTGATATTGCACATGACGTTTGGGGCAGTGTTGTTAAGTGTCTGTTATCAGGGAATCGTAAAAGGCTCCCGTTATCGTATCGTTATTACCGGCAAAGTAGTGATAAACCACTTATGGGAACACCGAGTAGGCTTTATGCGTGGACCGGCGCGTGTAGTCTAGAACGTTGGTTCCCAAACTTATTTGAGACGCGCCCCCTTTCGACCATACAAAAAATTCCGCGCCCCCCTCCTCCAGTCAAGATTATTTATTGGTCGTATCGAGCAGTCTGGAATACATTCTTTCAGCGGTCGCAGGTTTTTATACTTAAGTACACAGATGGCCCCCCTGGGGGGCGCACCCCCCACTTTGGGAACCAATGGTATAGAAACTAGACGGTCTACTTTACCTAAGTAGTAGGGATTTAGACTGAAAGATATGCCTCTATTTACATTACTTAAAACCTTTGATTGCGGTGGTGGAATAATTGTCAAGATATTAAACTTTATTGAGAAGAAAATAAGGTTCAAGCGCAATGAACAATATTTTTCACTATAAACAAAGGAAACTGGTTTCGTGGTATAAATTTTTGTTGCAAAATCACATTTGTTACGACTACATAAGGCTTTCCTATATCTATATATACAGTGTGAGTCACGTTAAAGTTTACATATGAAAATAGATGAAACTAGACCTATTTTTATCGACAAAAAAGAGGTCAAAAATTTTTTAAGATTTTTTTTAAATTTTTTATAGAATTTTTTTTCTTCCAATTACTTATTGTAAAGAAAACGTAATAACTTTTAAACTAAGCGGTATATCTTGATAAAATAAAAACAGTAATAATGCTAAACAACAGGCAATACTAAAAAAATACATAAAATACACAAAAAAGGCCTACAATTAATAAAAAATATTACTTTTTGAAAAAAAATTGCTTTTAAATTCGTGTTTTTTTGGTTATTTGATAAATTTCTCCAAAAAATGCCCCTATAACCGGTGGTTTTTATTACTTTGTATTATTCTCTATCGTATTTCCTTCGTAAAACAAAAATTCACATGTCTCTATCCCTATCACAACGTTTGCAATGATCATTTGAACAAAGGCCTGCCACAACATTATTCTCCGCTACAGGTAGAGACAAATTTAATTTTAACTAAAATGCTTATTTTACTTCGAAATTTTTTGTTTTTATTTGAAATCTAACTTGTCTTTATCAAAATTACAAATCTAGAGCCATTTTCAGTTTTGTTGTTAACGAAGCGTTGAATGGCGCGCCCGGAGAGGCTTAGTTCAAACGATCATTGCAAACGTTGTGATAGGGATAGAGACATGCGATTTTTGGTTTTACGAAGGTAATACGATAGAGAATAATACAAGGTAATAAAAACCTCCGGTTATCCGGGCATTTTTTAGAGAACTTTATCAAATAACCAAAAAAACACGAATTTAAAAGCAATTTTTTTTCAAAAAGTATCATTTTTTATTATTTGTAGGCCTTTTTTGTGTATTTTATGTATTTTTTTAGTATCGCCTGTTATTTAGCATTATTGCTGTTTTTATTTTATCAGGATATACAGCTTAGTTTAAAAGTTATTACGTTTTCTTTACAATAAGTAATTGGAAGAAAAAAAAATCTGTAAAAAATTAAAAAAAAATCTCAAAAAATTTTTGACCTCTTTTTTGTCGATAAAAATAGGTCTAGTTTCATCTATTTTCATATGTGCACTTTAACGTGACTCACACTGTATAAAAGAAAGTCGTGTTAGTTACTTCGCTTATAACTCAAGAACGGCTGAACCGATTTAGCTGAAAATTGTCAGGGAGGTAGTTTAGAGCCAGGAGAAGGACATAGGATACTTTTTATCCCGTTCGAAATTAAAAAAAAAGTCTGCTTATTTATTGCCATTAAGGCGGAACAAAGTTCGCCGGGTCAGCTAGTTTATTATATGCATGACTGCTTTATGTGCCTTAAAATAATAATAACACAAAAGGTAGATGAACTCGACGGCATTCGTAATTTAAATTTCAAAAACCATTGATATAAGATAATGTTCAACAAGGCTTTTGTTGATCCAATCTTTACGAATACTTAATTTCCATTAAAATAATTCATTTGCTTATGAAACACTACGGTGATTTCAAAGTCGTTGAACAATAAATTATACGACCAGGATTACGCCATTGCAAGTTTATTATAGGCGTATCCGGCTCGAAGGACCATTCTCTTTAATACGTGACCAATAAATGTTTTGATTTTTGTAGGTACATTTTTATATTACATAGTTGAACTTAGTAAAGATAACATTATTTTTGGGTACAATTTTACACAAGTTAGGCGGGAAGTAAGTAAATAAGTGACTTCAAGTATAAACATGTGAAATATACATTCCATTCGATTAAGATAAAGAAACCATCTGTTATTTTGACAGCGCCCAAATAATAACTGTTTATCCAACATGTTTGCATAAGCCACGCCTTTTGAACCGTTATAAATGAAAAACAAAACTCAATTTAATTTGAAATACGGATTGAAGCTTTAAGATTAATCCTATTTCAATTATTTAGATCCAATAACTGGATATAATCGCAGATAGATTGAATCGAGTTTTGAGCGTTTTTCGCAACAATTCTCATAATTTCTCACCTAATATGTGCACTGGCGATGATCCTGTCTCCAGCGAGTTGCCACACGTGGAATTCGTGAACGGCCAACACTCCATCCACCTTCTCCAAAAGTCGTCGCTGGATCGCGTCCACCTTGATAGAAAAAATATTTGAATTGATTTACTAAAACCACAGGCAGATTAACAGATTTCCTGGGTGTTGTTGGATCTCATTGGAATTTTATCTATTGAAATTGAGTAAGCGTCCTCTGAAATCTGCCGCCCCTAGGATGCTGCCGTCCCTAGACCGCGGCCTATTGATAAATCCAGGACTGACTTAAACTTATGTACGAGTCGACAGTTTGTTACAAAATCCTCCCTATTACAACTATACAGGATTCAACAGAGATTGCTATGCAGTTGTCTGTACATTTATTTTTTATTTATTTATTAAGGTACAGCAACAGATTATACCTAATAGACACAAGATGATAAAGCTCTTACAAAGTTAAGAAATATCGGCGCATGCGTTGAGAGATGTCATTTAACAATAGCATTCACAGTTGACAGTGATGACTTTCGTAAACCTTAATGTGGCCAGCATTTTATTGTAACTTTTTGGGGCTTAAGATGTTTTAACTGTTTTACAAGACACAACAAAGATAATTTTTTAGGCCTTTTTGAAAGTGCCGACCAACAAAAAAAAATGGTACGGGTAATGGTAATGATATGTATTGTTTTTACCCACGCGACGTTATTACAAAGTTACATGCGTGTAGAACACCAGTTTCAAGATTAAAGGTATCTGTGATTTTTATGGAATCGCGCTTATTTTTCAAACGTTTTGATGGAAGATGCATATTTTACTCGTGCAAACCATATTTTATTTATGCACTTTAATGCGCTCGAATATACACCCATTTTACTACCAATAAACGGTTCCCACTGTATCGCATACACCTGGACAAACAAACCCCAAGTAATCGGGTCACTGGTCAACTGTGCGGTTATCAGTGAGCAAATATGCTCAGTCAGCGGCGTGAATAGGGGTCAGCCAATGCACGCGTGCATGGCTTCGGGATATTTTTAAATATTTTTAGTTTACCCGTGACTAATAAGGCGTATTGTGTCTTTGGATCACGGTTTCAACACAATAAATGAGCCTGAATTGACGAAACTTCAACCCATGTCAAAGGTTGTTGGAGGTCGCACTGGTCGCTTACCAGCTTGTGTGTTACCAAGATCATTTGCCTCCTTTCTTATACTTCTTCTATTCCCACTACTTCAACTTCTGCTTTAGAACTAGAATCTACAGCTTCAATAATAAAACGAAACTAATGAAAGTGTATTATGCGACGAAATTAATCAGAAGAAAGCTAGATAAATAGGGTTCGAAACTTCTTTTAAACGCTCGGTAGATGACAGATTTATAAACAAAGAAAGGCATACACACTACGTATATTGCGAGTTATAATATGTAAATAGGACCCTATGTGAATTCCCATCCGTAGTTAATTTGGCATTACCGGTAACTTATAATTGTATGATGAATTACATGGCTTTCTGATGTTACATGTTTTAAAAGTGGGACTAATGTTTCTATAGTTACCTCTTACATTTAAAAAAGTATCATTTATCAAAATTCAATCCCTCACCTGGATATGTGTAGGAACAGTCTGTAGCAGGATAAGCGAAGACTCCCTCAGCAGTGGCCATACGGACGCCAGAATGAGGATCACGAGGACGATACTCAGCGCGGGGTCGATGTAGTATTTGTACTCCCAATCGGTCAGCCAGACCACTAGAGCTGACCCGACCACGATCAGCGAACCTGCGGACGAAATAGGTCATTATCACAGATCACAGAAACTAAAGGAAGATGTGAAAAGGGGGCGGGGCCGGTGTCGCAGCAATATGCCCAAAAACAGAACACATTGCTCGTAACAGCAGCGAAGTCATAATGTTAACAGTTTACATTGCTTGCGTAGTACTAAAGATTTTTTTAACGTTGAGTAGTGATACCGCAGTGGATAATGAGCACATATTTTGATTACTTTGCATGTGTGAATGCTAATGCGACACTGAATTTCGAACTTAGCGCATTAGTTGGCATCTCTCTATATCTCTATGGTTAGAACCAAAAATGGCTACCAATCAGCATAAAGGACTATTCTGACCTCTCGTTCCCACCGCTGCAACTCCTGTGAGTTCGAAACTCAGTGTCGCATTAGAAATTCTCATCTCTCTATATCTCTATGGTCATTATTATTACGTAGAGAAGGATGTTATCTGTTTGTAAACACCACTTGAGCTGTGATCGTGGGAGAAATGTAGATAAAAGTATCTTAAATTTTCTCTTATCTGATGTTTCGGCCTAAATGTAACATGCGTTGTTGGAAATCTAAAAAGTATCTCCTACATTGGTTATTTTCAACACTCGATATGATATGAAGACCGCTCCTTGTGCGGTATAGTATAGTTAAATTAGTAAAACATTAGACTTTGAATATTAAATAGTGGTTTTAATTGAAGATTATTGTTGAGCTGATATGTAGTTTCTCAACTAATTTAAGTTGCTGGCAGAAATTGGAGGCCACAAACCAAAAACTGTATTTAAAAAAAAAAGGCGCGTGTAGAAGCATAATGATAAGATAACTTAATGAGCGTTCTGGATATTGAATATTGTTTAAACAACATTAGATGTTATGCCTGATGCATAAAAGACTAAACTGGGATGAACAACTATATCACAGCGTTACATTTTTAAAATCCATTAAGTTATTTCCGTAAAGAGGTCTTCATATCGTTTAAAGTATGTTTAGTCAAAGTTACAGTTTATAAAACGTGTTTTTATAGAAAAAGCGTCTTTACATTTTCCTTCATCAGCGAACGCGTAAGATATTTGAATAGACTATGCGAGTGCTTCTTGAATAGAGCTTTGGGTAAGTGGAAATCTTTAAGGCTAAAGAAAACAGTCGCGTGTGTAGCAGCTTTCTAAAATATGCCATTGCCATCATACTTCAACGCGTAGAGCGTGAAAGGGACAAGTATGTTGAGGGAGGTACTTTAACAAGATTGATGTTTAATTAATTTCACATTTTTACTCGTTACGGGTGAGATCTGTGTCTTTATTATAACCACTATTAGTAATGTGACATGCAATTAATAATTGGAATTTTGAGCATTTTGTGACATTTTCCGATTGCACAAGGTTAACAGGCGCCATCGGTTATCCAGTCTAGTCATTTTGGATTTGTAAATACAACACCTGATAAGGTGAGTAATCACTATCGTAAAAATAACCGCATTATATCGCACACTTGACCTGTATTTCTATCAATAACTCGACAAACAACTTTGATTTTGTAACTAATATCGGACGTAATTATTGGCACTCCTGTCATTAACCTTGTTATTGATATACCACCAGTTATAATCATTGCAACCGATCACCTAATGTGTGATAACATTAGTAAACCAAAAGTGGCACAAGGTTAGGCTTCGCATGTTTTCGTCTACCAAATAATGTCAATGACGGCGCACGCGCCGGCCGGCTTTGAAAGTGGCGAACCAGAGCAACGCACTAATAAAAAGATTTTGTGTAAATATTTTCAGCTTCTGAATATATTTGAATGCTTTCCAAACACTAGATAACATACTAAGAATCTAGTAGACTTTTATTTTGGTGTTAACTGGAGGTAAATAAGAATTTGGTTGTTAATCTTACTTTTGATAACAATATGAGGTCATTGTAAGATGAGAATAATATTAATCTTTTAGTCACTTATTACTCGGTTTCCACCAAAGCGACGAAGAGAGGAAACAAAAGGAGATGTGTTTTCCGAACCGAAGTGGAGCGGAGAGGTGATGTGGAATTAACGAAATCCGATTGGTTATTCAACAATAATTTCTCTTTCGTCCCTTCTCCTTTGGTGGAAACCAGGCTTAAGACTGCACTTCATGTTATTCAAAACTCCTTCTGCTTTCGCAGTCGGACTGGACAAATAATCACAGAGCAGGCGGTCATTGCTCTTGTTAAATAAATAAGGAAAACTCGTAAATAATCTAGTTTTTCTACTACATTTATTTTGCTTTCTGATTGTATGTTTTTTTCCTTTAAGTTTCAAGGTGATCGGCCGGTTGATTTATAGATATTTTTCTGCCTTTGTGGTAGTGGTTAGAAAGTTGGAATCTTTTGACTTAAATTTTCAGGGTGCGATCTCCCGTATGACCACACATACTACACTTTATAACACATCATTTAAGCCATAGGACGTCCACTGCTGAACATAGGCCTCCCCCAATGCTTTCCATGTTGATCGATTGGCACACATCTTGGATCGTGATCGTGGATTTATAACACAAGCGATACGAAAATATCCAATAACATTTTTCTTTTTCATTCAGTTAACCGGTGTGTGTCATTAATATCTTTACAAAATAAAAACAATCAATTTAAATATACAGGCGGCGATTTGACGCAAGCATTCACATTATCATGCAGATAGCGATCGAAGCGCATTACTGAGAAAAATACGTAGAATCATCTGAATAACAACGTCAAGGGAACATGTTAGGAATGTAACAAATGACAAATCGATTCGCGCTGCAACTGGTCAGGTGAACCGACGGGCCTCGGCGTGCGCGAGGTCGCAACGCAACTAGACATTAGAATAATGTATTGTATACAGAAAAAGTTTGAACAGCTTTTTAAAAGCATATTCATAATTAGGAGAAGAAACAGTCAGATACAGTGATTTAGTAAGTTCCAAAGAAAAAGTTTACTGTTTATTATGCTGGGAACATTTCAACCAGTTAGTCATAGTTTTAGTGCTTGTTTTGTTGTAATTTATAGGTAGTCTACATTTATTGTTATCTTAACCCATTATAGACTAGCGGTCCCATATGGTACCACTTTTTTGTGTGTTTTAATTTGGCTCTATACATTAACACGTGAAAAGATGCAGTGCTCTGATTGATGCAAGTCGTAGCCTATAGATATCGTCTATGCTTCTAGGAATAAAAATTTACAGGTATTCTTTTCAGTTGTGTGTAATTAATGATTGAAGTGAGCGCATCAAAATTTTCTCTTAAAAATTGACGCGCCATTCAAGTAAGTGATCATATTTTTTTTTGTGTGATAGTGAAATACCGATTTTGTTACAATCTTGTATTCTCCTTAAGTGCTCTTATTGTGAAATGGTGTAAAATTACGTCGATAGATAATAATAATGGGAAATATTGTATGTCAAAATTACTGGTACCGTACGGTACCGCTAGCCGCTTACCGTGTCTTTTTAATTATTTTATGATTTTTAGTTTTTACTGTATTTATTGGGAAGTATGTGATATATTCAATGGTATATAAGATATACAGGAAGATAAAGTAAAATAGTTTCCTATACTTTACAAAACCATGGGTTTTTATTTATTTTAGATGTAACTTATACGAAACATTGGCCGTTTTGGAGGACGATGAAGGTCCCAAAACGAAGCAGATATTTATAGAACGAACTCGAGATAATTGCAACTCTCGAACAATATTAGAGTATAGGAAATGTTACATGGGGCTAAGTGCAGTGTGCAATGCCAAGCTCCATTCCAAATTTTTGAATATTCAAAGATAAAAATGAATATTCCTTACCCAATATACAGCTTTTTTTACATTTAATATCACTTCTGTTATTTGCTTGTATATTAATACATATAATAATAATAATAAAATATATAATTAATCCTATTTTTATAAAGCCCATGATAAAGTTATGTTTTATTTAACAGACTGATACGGTAAGAGGCTAGCGGTACCATATGGTACCAGCATTTTTTTTTCTAGATTACAGGTCGGATCATTTTTTTAATGCTTGTATAGCATTATGTAGACCATAATTATGAACATATTTCAAAAAAACAAAAATCTGATACTTTAAGAAAACTCAGTCTATGTATAATGGGTTAAGATAGCAGTTATAAGTAAATGTTTATTTTTCTATTTTCTTGTATTATGGTCATTACTGTCTCGTGCTTAATTAAAGTGGTTTAATTAAAGGGTATTTAGTGATTGCGATTATGTACCTATTTACATTTGTTATTTTGAGGAGAGACAATGCTAATAGTTTTTAGAAAAGATCTTGGTAGATATGCCAACAACGATAAAATCCTTTATCTTAAAGACATTCCACCTTGTGGTACCGACGACCTCATACAGAAAGGCGCTGGATGCAGGCCGCTACCAACCGGGCATTGTGGAAATCATTGGGGGAGGCCTATGTTCAGCAGTGGACGTCTATGGCTGAAATGATGATGATGATGAAAGACATTAAAGAAACTATGAAAGAATCCATACGAAAGTCCCTACTTGGCCGGGAATAGGGCATATGCGATGACGTTCCTTTATCAGGATTTTATCAAGCATATTCTTTGAAAACAGGTCTATCATCAAGGAAAGCTATAAAAATCACATCGTAAACTTCAACGGCAATTTAAAGTTTCCAATTATTTGTCCATACGCACTTGATTTTCTAAATGCTTACATTAAGTATGTATGATATGACTTGCGGCGAAATAACTGTTAGTTATAAGCAATGAATAACACAAGGTCGAGTAAAGAAATCGGTATCCAATATTCATAATATACACTGATTCACGTTTACGTTAAGGTGTTTTCTCACTTGGGGCATTTGACTGTAAAATGTCACGTTACACATTTGATCATTTCAGTGAGGAAAGAGAACAGAGCATTACAGTGCACAACCTATAATGTTACAGACTTGAACTTTTAATTGGTGGGGGAAGAGAACCCAGCATTACAGTGCGCAATTTAAATTTAGATACAACCTGTAACAATCTTGAATGCTTGTCAAGTCAGGATGGAATTCATATTGTAATGTAATTAAGATCAAAATCGAATCTAAAATGTTCCATTACAGGCGAATGCTCCAGGTGAGGGAGCACCTTTAAGTTTGTATGACGTAATTGTGTGCGAATTCTTCCTTGTAATTCGTCACGATGCAACGGAAGGATTGCCTCAATGACTTTAATTTCTTAAAATTGGTCACGGGTAATGACCTTAGGGGAATCTAATCGATTCCGCATTGATAGTAAAAGTCAATGTCGAGGTAAACAATCTAATGACATTACACTGGAGTTATTTTGCCGCCATTTCAAATCAAGGTGGCTGATGTAAAATGTCGGCAGATATTGCAGAGAAGTGCCTGCTGTATAATTGACATTGGTTGGTACCTACTTGAAAGATAAATATTTTTATGCTATTGCGTCAGACTACGGACATACATATCTTGATCCAATAGTTAGTAATCGTCTAGTGAAGATAGTTTGTAAGTTTTTTAATCCTATACTGTTTGTATTGTTGACAGGACATCAGATTATATTTTTATTCCAAAATAGCACCTATTACGAACTACATAAGATGCAATGTTTACCTACCTTGATGTGCTGTACGGTGATTGATCAAATTCACATTTACGTGTGAATAAAAACGGTCGAGATTAAAACGTTGTCAGGATTGTATCACTCAAGATTAAATCTTAGTTACCAATTTCAATATCATGGTATCTCTCGATTGGTTTGCAACAAGAAAGTCATCAATCAAGGTACATTTGACAAAGATAAACCAACCGTCACATACAGGGCCAGACCGCGAGTTTAGGGGGCCCTGTGCTAATACTACTTAGGGCTATTACTATATTCGATACTCTTTCGCATTATCGTCTATTTTTGACTTTGACTTGACTTAGCTGGGACCTCTTGAATCCACGGGGCCCTGGGCTGAGCACCAAAAAGCTGTATGATAGATCCGGCCCTGGTCACTTACCTAACTAACTTAAAACTCCTATTATGTTCTTCTGATAAATATCGTTGCGGGTCAAATGATAGTTTAACTTCCCACGGGACAAACTTGACTTTCACTGGTTAGGTTTTTATTGGCGGTCAAGCTGTAGATCAAGCTGTGGAAGTTGCAGCGGTGGGAATAGTTTTCTTAAAAAAATCACTTACCCAGAGCATCCGACAGAACGTGAAGGAAGACTCCCTTCATATTCATATGTCCAGGATCGTTGTTGGTCCTTCGAGGGGTCTGCTTGTTGTTGTTTGGCAGTTTAAGGTTCTTCGGCGGGACCATCTCATCAGTCTCTTCGGTGTCGGTCGCGTTGTGACCTAAGGCCATATCGGCGTTGCTGTTCACGATTTCTGTGAGGTGACGAACGTTGGACGGTGGTGGAACGCCGCCGTGGGAGTGGCCGTGGCTGCTGCCATGTTCTGGAAGAAAGATCTTGGGTAATATAATGGGAATAGGCAGTAAGTAATGGGATAAGAGCGGTGCTTTATTCGAGGGGTAATAATTGGGGTAAAGTAAGAGAGAGCGTTATTTTATCATACGAAACCAATGTGGGCAACTGACACCATCTGTGTGGACTGGATTTCGGATGAAGATAGCTTTCACCTTCCGCCTGATCGTTACATTCCATTAGGACCTAATGGAATGTCTGATTAGGTGATACATTGGCCTGTATCCCACCTAATGCACTAGCTTTTGGGTAAAAATAAATTAAAATAAAGGTGGCGTTTATACAAAGGACTAATGGGCGCCGAAAGTTTTGATAATATTGACTCTGATAACGTCTAAAACTCTTGCGCATGTATCCAGTTGTGTGCATCGTAAGTATCAGGACTTTGTTTTAATATTACGTACATATGATGGTAAATTTAATTTAATTAAGATTCCAAAAAACCTGGATACCAGGAAGAGCATTGGAATCAGACACCTATAATATGTGGAGTTATGCATGATGCATGACACAATGCGAATTGTATTTGTGAACACGTTTTACGAACACAAAGGATAAGGAAGCACAATGTGTGGTTTAATTTTGGATGAAAACAATCATAAGTGTGTTTATTTTAGTCAATTTTGAAAGTAAAGTTTAGGGTTTAAGACTTTGTACCCTAAACTGTATTGACTAAATGATATATTTGAGTGTGTATGTTACATTTTGCAGTAACTTCACAAAATAAACTGGCCATTGTTTTAGAGTTTGAATAATGTTGAAGTTCAAGGCGTATTTAAGTTTGGTGTTGCAAATGGCAGTATCAAAACAATTTGACGTTTGTGTACCCTCCTTGTTTAGAGGGATAAGAACAATAATGAAAATTAAAATAATTAAAATTAAGATATCAAATTCCTGACTTCACCATACCATTTATATGCCCATGTTAACATGAGCTAGTGTCGGCTCATATACCCATTTACCTAACATCCTGTAGATAGACTTGTTTTTACTTTCGTAATAAGTTTATTTAACATAATAATTTACAATCAAAATCACGGTTTTAATGGATGAAAAATTTTTACATATTATTTCATTATCTAAAACTTGTTTTCTTTTTTCTGTACAAATATTATAAGTGTGAATAATGGCATAGAAATAGTTTTCTTATCTCGCTCAAACAATCTAATGCATTTGCAGTGCCTTTAACAATTTCATAATACTAGCACATAAAACAAATACAATTTATAATAAATGATGTTGTTAAATTACGTACATTATTAAATATAAAATAATAATAATATTTACAAAGCAATTTATTTTTCTTCTTAGATTAAATACTACACACACCGGCAGATTTAGAGGAACGGAAAAAAAAGCATCAATATCATCATTATTTTAGGAAAAAAATGCCTAATTATGACATTATTTTTTAATTTAATTCTAAATATGAAAAAAATAATTGCCAACAGTATATTTTTTTAATTATTTTGTTTAAATTACCCCATCAACAGTTTCGTTGAGTGTTTTGAATTGAATGAAGCTTTTGCTAATTTGGATTTCTTTTACGTGAAAGATGTTTTTTTCTGAGAATTTTGTTGTGTAAGCATTCAGTTACTTATAAGGGTTTATTATGCCCAGCTTAGCACCGTCAGAAATCATTAAGGCAGATGAAATGAGAAGTAACGGCCATGCATACAAATCGGCTGCCGTAAGACGTCGTTGATCAGTATCGACCACCCATGGCAGTAACCAACGGTACAGATTGATCATTTCTGTCGTTAGGAGGAGGGTTCAAGTCAGAAAAAGGCGTACTTCGCGACGGGATGACCGTTTTTTACAACTTCGAGTTTTCAGAAAGTCGCGGTTACCTGCTGTTCAAGCCAGAAATAACCTTAAAGACACTCGAGGAGTAAGAGTGACTGAGCCCACAGTTCACAGGAGATTTACTGAAGTTGGTATAGGGTCGTGCATACCCGAGAAAGCTCCAACTTGTGACACAGCACCGAAAAAACATATTGAACTTTTCACGTGAATATCGTGATTGGGTCTTGAACGACTGGAGGCATGATCTCTTCACTTATGAGTGCAGAGTTCTCTTAAACCAGATCGATGGAAGATAGCGAATATGGAGACACAAAGAGAACGTAACATTTAGTCTTAATTTTGAAAATATCGTGGTTTATGGAGGTAGCTTAATTCTGGTGTGGGGAAGGATTTTTTTGGGAGCTCGCACGGAGTTAGTGGTGGGTGATGGAGGAAATACGACTTCTGAATGGTACACTAGGAACATTTTAGAAGAACATGATGTGCCATTTACTCCATTTATTGTGGACTCCTTTAGTTTAATTCACGATAATGTTCGTTTTCACAGTGCTCGCTCAGTACAGGCACATCTAAACCATTTGGATATACCCATGATGCAGTGGCTGGCAAGATCCCTAGACAAGAATCCTATAGAGCATGTCTTGGACTTTCTTAAAAGATGTGTTAAACTCAGAATACCACCGGTGGTGTTGAGAAACGCGTTACTAGAGGAATGGCAGACATTGCCCCAAAATACCCTTCATATCATTAACTGCAGCATGCTCAGATGAATGGAAACCATCATCAGAGCAAGAGGGGGAAATACCCATCATTAATTCATTCATTTGGATAGTGATAAGCTACCCTAATTTTTAATCTGGCCACAATTTCTAATTTTTGTTCAAAACTGAAAAATTGAAATTTCGTTTCGATGATTTTTTATTAAATAAAAACGACTAAATATTTAAAAAATATATGTTATTTTATTTTATTTTAATTATCTCTTTATTTTGTATAATAAATATTTCATAGATCAGTAGTAATTTTCCTTATTTTCATACTTTTTTTTGCGTTCCGCTAAATCTGCCGGTGTGTGTATTTCTGTTACTCAAAATTCATTTAAAATTAAGTACCTAGGTATACATATTTCATATGAAAGCAGACAAAAAATTGGATGACACTGGTGGACCTGGTCAATTTATTTCTTTTATAAAGCCAATGCAAAATAGAAACTCAATCGCCTAAAATCTGAATCATCAATGTCATTTTAATAAAGGAAATGATTTCTAAAACTCACCATGGAACAGGAAAAGTCCAACAATGTTCAGTATCAGCCCCAAAGTACCAACAGCTACCAGGAGCTTCTCATCGTGTATCATTTCGATCTCAATGAATCGCTTCACAGCCTCTACGGTGATGCTGAAGCACAGAGCGACCAAGAACACAGCATTCACGAGAGCCCCAAGTACTTCTGCTCTCGCCCACCCAAATGTGTTCTTTGACCATTTCTTTGGTGACATCTGTTAAAAAAGAAACTAAATTAGGCTGAGTTGCACCACCTAACTTTGATCGTAATTATAATGATAACCGGTGTATTTTCTATGGAGTTTGACAGATTTTTTATGTATGTTTTATTTGTTTATTTATACTTATGCACATACAACTGTACAGTGGCGGACTTAATGCCAGGTGGCATTATCTGCCAGTCAACCACAGGTCGAGTAGAGAGACTAAGGCGCGGTGCATAAATATGACGTTTAATTCATATGTTAAAGCTAAAGAAAGATGGTGCAACCCAGCCTTAGATTCTAGCACTTAATAACACATAAAATTACTCCATTAGTTCTTGATAAAGGCTCATATGCTGAAAGAATCTGAATGAATTGAAATGAGTTTTGTGTTTGTGGTACAGATAATGTGCCTATGGTATTGTAATTAGTAATTTTTCCTAATCATTTATTTTCCTTAATAATAATGTTAATTATTAAAATTAACATAATGGTTTATATCATACATGATGTACCAGGAAATTAACATGACCAGCCTTGGGTTTTGCTATTACATACAATACTTTCTAGGGGAAACCCATGGTATGTATGATTCATTATGGCTCATACAATATTCTAAGAAATATTGTGATGACAAACTATAAGGATGTAAGAAAGGATATTCTTTAAATAGTAATACAAAATAAACTGAGTGTAACTTGAATGTTAAGTAATACAGAAAAAATAAATTACTTACATAATAAAACTGCCAAAGAATACCTACCTACCTACCTACTTGTGTTAAAAATTTAATTTGCATCATAAGTACATAATAAAGAATAATAAAGATAGCAAAACAATAAATAAATAAATATCCAATAATAACAATACATAATAATAAAAACAATAAATAACATTACAACTTACTTTAACAGATAAAAATGCAATGACCAGTGCTGCAACATCACTTAACATATGAAAAGAGTCTGCTACAAGGGCCATAGAATTGGTGACGTAGCCCACAATCAGTTCTACAATGAAGAACCCACTGGTTAGCCAAAGCATCGACAATAGTCGACACTTCTTTCCTGAGTACCTCCCCATTGTTTCTGAAAGAGAAATTCTTTTATAGCACTATTTAAAAATAAAACAATGATTATAAAAAAGGAGATAGAACCAAAATGGACTACATTTAGTTTTGAATCTTATTCCTACTGAATAAAGGACAATATAGCAGCAATTCAGCCAGGAACAGATAACTTTCAGTGCATGGTTTATAGAGCAATGTACACAATGAATAAAACTCCCTAGTTGAATAATAGGTCAGACAACACTCAATTAGTCAGGAAATTCAATGTCAATAAACAACACTTGGATCTTGATTGTGAATATTAATATTTGATTTGGTTGATATGATGCATGTCTCAGTAATAAGCTTGAATCAGAGAGCAAACTGGATGTTTTAGAGATGACTCATCAGAACAGTAAGCAGATCCTACTTGTTAGTAAATTGTAGGCTATGGTAGGCCATGAATTATTGGAATCACATTGGATACTTATAAGAATTCATGACACATGCTTTCAGATTTTGATAAACATAGGTAGATACTAGACACATTAACCTAAATAGTAAGTACTTACACAGTCTTTGCTTGCCAATAGCTTTGTCTTTTTTTCCTTTATCAGCAACCAAATCCCATCAGGACATGCGTTTGTCACAAAATATGCACACTCATTTCACAACAATAGGTAAATGCCCTCATACAATATCGATTCAACACCAACAAAGTACAAACACAAAACGCTTCTAATAAATGAAAATAGTAAACATAACCGCAAGTAGGTTATTCGAAAACAAATCTTTAACACTCTGTTCACAGAATTTCTAATATTGTGATCCAACAGCGAGGAAAATCGCGTGAAAGCATAGAAATTTAGACACCAAAAAATGTTGATACACTGCGAATTTTAATATGAAACCAAAGCACAAAGAAAACTATAACGTGTAAGGCGCCGTGCACGATACACTAAACTTTACTATTAAACTAACTCGTGATGAATTTAAGCTTAATAGCTCCGAGCAAATGTACAACAGACACCAATCTTCTCACTTCTCCACTCAGCCAGACAGACAAATGAGACAATGTCAAAGTCAGGCAAATGGCAATGGCAAATTGACAGATGCTTAGATTAATAAAACCTAGATAGATAGTCAGTGCACGAAAGGTGAGGCAGATTTTAGTAAGCCAGAATGGCTTACTCGTAAACGTCACATGAACTGTCAAAGTGAAAAATTGGTAAACACGTCCGACGACTTTTAATTAATTAAGACGGTTTGTGCTGTGAAAGGGTGTCTAAATACATTAGAAAAACAAAGAAAGTGACCAGTGTTACATTTCATAAGTAAGTACTACGATTCGACGCGTATTTTGCTTGAATTTGGCTTTCAAAAATTAAATACGGGAATGATACCAGTAACAAGAAAATTTATTTCCCAATTGTTCGCCGTACAAATACACTTCCTTTTTTATGAAATCGAGACTTTTCAGTCGTTTTATCTTATTGTAATTAGGTAGGTACTTTGAATTCAATAAATAAGTAAGTACATGATGCGTTTTGTTTTTGTTAGTTGTAAAATAATTAAAAACGTATTAAAAATTTCCCTACTTTCGGGAAAATCGCCTTCACTGTCTACACTCCCCAACAAAATTGACACTAATGACATAAGATTTTTGCCTCACTCTTGACGAAGCGTTTGTATGAAGACTATCCATCTAGGTTTTATTAATCTAAGGACAGATGGAATGAAAAACTATGGTGGCGCTGCAATCGCAAAATGTGTAAAGGTTTGCGCGCATTTAATTTTCTTGCAAGGCTTTTTTTCTATGGATTCGATCAAAAAGTGCAACTTGCCTAGGGGGGCAGTGGGTCTAGACAAAGTGCACATTATAATCGCAAACCAGTCAAATATGATCGAAAAGCCTTTTTTTGGTATGGAGTTTTGATGGATTCGATTTTCGATTCGATCAAAAAGTGCATTTTGTCTTGGGGGGCAGTTGTCATTATTCGTGTCGCGCACCGCACCGCACAATGGAGGCACTTATTGTCAGTGTCACGCACGCAGCCCCCTGTAGCCTTATTCACGTAACAAAACTTCAACGACAAAACACTGAGTTGCGAATTTGCGATCCTATCGAGTAATCGTTTTATCAAAATGACCCTTGTGAATACGGATTTAGAACAGTTTTTCAATGGGACTATGTAACAAAACTTTAATGATAACAAATCGCTGAGTTGCGATCCTATCGAGTAATCGTTTTATCAAAAATGACCCTGTGAATACGGATTTAGAACTTTTTCAATGGGACGATTTTTGGACGTCAGCGAGATCTTGACTGTCAAAATACGTGAATTAGGCCACTATATAAGACTTTAAAAAAGTCTTTTCGACCATCTTTTGACATAAAAACTGTCACATTTTGTATTTTGTCTAGGGGGGCTAGATTTATTGTATCTCTCTTCTCTCTAGTAGAAGATGAAAAAAAAAATCATCCCCAATAAGGGGGCGTCCATTAATTACGTGAGACTTTTAAGGGGGGGAGGGGGTCCAGAAAAACCTCACTTATGCCCGTTTTCACCATCATTTCCTAATTTGTAAGTGACCCCTATGAAAGCAAAACTCCTGCTATTATGTGTCGAGAAATATCACGTAATTTTTTTCACAACAAACAGAGTACCTAAATCCTCCGTCTGCATTTGTGAACACAGGCCCAGTTTTTAGATCCGCAGTTTGTTACCAATGATTAAATATTAACAAAATGTAAAATGTAAACTAATAAGTTTTGTAATGTAATAAAAATTGTACTAAAAGTAAAAAACTGGGCCTAAGTTGTTTTGTTTTATCATTTCACTTAATTTTTTTTACGCAGGTCGGGTTTTTTTTATAAAATGTAATATTTTCGAAGCATGGATTATCTTATTTACATTGCAAATAGGCATTTTGGAAAATCTCACGTGAGTTTAGGGGGTGGGGGAGGGGGTCTGGCAACATCGAAATCTCACCAAAAAAATAGCCAAAATTGTCTCACGTAATTAATGGACGCCCCCTAACATGTAAGGGCTCAGGAACATGTAGCTACCCTAAAAAAAATTTTTTTAAATTTAATTATACATAACTCCACAAAATTACAGCTTTCTAGTGCCAATGGTTTCCAAGCAAAACCTCGGACAGACAGACAGACACATCGAAACTATAAAGGTTCTTTGTCAGCACTACGGAACCCTTAAAAATAATGGAAAGAATATTGCTTTTTTTTTTTTCAAAAACCCTTATGTGATTCTTATCGAGTTGTCGTCAGATGTAAGCCATTTTTAAAATGCGGTAGCTTTTACTACTTCCTGTAGAAACTGTATTTTTTTTAGCTACCTACCTACGGTACCTTACGGTTGTAGCTTACAATAATCGAAATAGATGTTCGTCAGTGGATTTAAGGTTAAATACATTGTTAAACAAATAAAATAAAATTAATAAAAATAGTACAAGTTTTACAAAACAATAAAACTTGTATTATTGAGCAGAGACGATGCACAGCATCTGGTGAGAGATGCGTCTACTTCCGGCGTAGTTTTTTACCATTTTATACCTTAAATGACGTCATTTCCGCAATATTTAATAGGAATTGATTTGACTTACTTCCGTTTGCCGCCATTTTAGTCACCTGGGGGCGAGCTTGCTCGGAGTTCTTCATAGAGAGCTCACCAGGAGGCCTTCTTGGGATGCTGTGCATCGTCTCTGCTCAATAATACAAGTTTTATTGTTTTGTAAAACTTGTACTATTATTCGGCATGTGACGATGCACAGCATCTGGTGAGAGACTTGTTTATTAGCTCCTGGTGACTACTTACCAAAGGCGCTATGTGATGAAAGTTTTCGAGTTTCTGTAACAGAACTAGATTAGAACATGATTAATTTCAGGGTATTAACATGTTTTGTTCTAAATGCCCAGTGAGAGCAGCACTAATATTACAAAGTAGGAAGGTTTCTACTTTTGTATGTTTGAAATGAATAAACTGGAAAGCTACTGAACTGAATTCAGAAATTCTTTCCTCATTAAAATGCAGATTGAGTGTGTATTGATATAATTTGCCCGTTATTGGTCGTCAAGGGGACCTGAAGGGACTGATTTGAAATCCTTGGCTTTTTGTTCTAAATCGAAGGGAGTTATTTTGAGGCTTATGTATTTGCTTTAAAGATAATAAGATGTGTAGGTAAAGGTTACTTACTTATTCGTATTTGACGATTTGTAAGAACTAATTTAATCAGTCTAAGCAAATAAAGATATTATTATGTTTTGATTTTGCTTGAAGTGACCGGCTAGAGAACCAAGGTCGGATTATTTTTTGGATATCACCAGTACGAGCACAGGGTGATTTTGCCGAACAAAAATCCAGCACTGGGAGGGTGCTCCTCGCACAATGTTTATTAGGAATTTTAGCCAGGATATGCTCGTGACATGTTCAAATTCAAATTCAAAAACCTTTATTGCATGTCACATTACAATTTAAATTATGTTGTTGCAAAATAGAGGTTTACATGTTAGATGCACTCAGCACATTTTTTCATACTTATTAAGCTTCTTGATTTGCAAAAAACATTAGAATTTAATAATTCAAGCTGTAAGCTGGCTCAGTGTTGGGGGTGGCCGCCCAGTCTACTAATAGTTGTAGTTTAAAGTGCTTTGTTGATGTGGTAAAGCATTTGTAGGTGCTTTATTTTATGAGCATAATGAGCCTTTTTAAAGGGGTATTTATTAAGAAACTCGTACCAGAAAGAGTTATCGTTCGATTGTGGTGATGCTAACAAGGTATTTTGATTGCTAATGTTTGCGATTGGGGCTGACGGGGCCGCCGTTAAAATTGTATAAGATGGTTGTGGGTACGTTATTCAATCTATTTATACAATATAGAGATTCGCGAGAATGCTCATTTGATCGAAAAGAGTGTTAAAACTATCAGAATCCCACGTACCTCGTTTCATCCGTTATGGATCTCGCCGGGGTCCGGGTTTCTCCGGTATCCGACGCTCTGGGTCCACCTGCTCGTCGTCCGGAAGACACTCGTCCCCTTTGGCGCCAACCACCATCACGTACATGTCGTTCGCGGTCTATTGCACTTTTTAATTTTAAACTTAGTATAAGAATGTTGAGAAATAAATTATTTCAGTAAAAATCTGAGCAGAGTTACTGCTTACGATGTTGCTAGTTTGGAAGTTAAAGACGCTATGAAGAACTCCGAGCAAGCTCGCCCCCAGGTGACTAAAATGGCGGCAAACGGAAGTAAGTCAAATCAATTCCTATTAAATATTGCGGAAATGACGTCATTTAAGGTATAAAATGGTAAAAAACTACGCCGGAAGTAGACGCATCTCTCACCAGATGCTGTGCATCGTCACATGCCGAATAATATATAATGTTATGGGTTAAAATGTTAAAATGCTTAGGTTAATGATGGGTTAATGAGACAAATATTACAGCACTAGCGCCATTAAGATAGTTGTCCCTTGAATAAAAGGTTGACGCGCACTGTGTTGTTAGCCGGTGCTATTTATTTGTCTGACAACACTGAACACAGCTAATGTCAGTCATCAGACATGTCAATCAAATCAAATCAAATGCCAATGTCAACAGTGTTGCCAGAAGGTTACTTTTGTAACCTTTTAGGTTACTTTTGAACTGCATTGGTTACTTTTAGGTTACACTAATGAAAAGGTTACTTTTAGGTGATTTTTCAGAAATTGTAGAATTAAGTTTTATAGGTTATTCAGGAAAAAATATTAATAGTGACAATTTAAAAATTATATCATAAACTGCATTTAAACATGAATTTGATTTAGTATGTTAAAGAAAATGAGTTTTAGCGAATGTTTTTCGATAATAAAACTCAAATCCATGAAACGGTTTTATACGACCGGTCACTTTCCGGTCTTCATGGAATGGTCAAAATTTCGAATTTAGGTAAACGATTGATGATCAATGTATTCATTTTCCATTCGAACAACCTTACACAATCGCTCCGCACCCCCCCCTCCGTATGAAGGTTACTTTTTATTCAAATAGGTTACATTTTTTTGTATTTCTGGTAATTTCTGACAGGACCCGACTGGCAACACTGAATGTCAATGTCATGGAAAGAATTTATTGTTGTTGCACAGCACGAAAAAAATTGAAGAGTTTAAAATTTCGGTCAAAGTGATACTAATTATGTTGTTGTTAACTAAATAATGGCTACGTTTATTTTTAATAACTTATGTTTCCTAAAAATGTATCAGATTCTTTCTTTCCTATTTTAATTATTAATATTTTTATGTAGGTACAGGGTTATGTCATTTGAATTAAGATTCTAGAATTAGAATAATGCCTTTTCTAAAGACTTTGGGTAAAACCTGTGGATTTGTGGGATATGTTCTACAATATGCTTGTGTTACGCATTGTACCTTTGAATATATCGGAGACTTTGTTATGGTGAGTTTACTTTTGAATACAATAGATTATTTTTTTAATTTCTAATTGTATTGAAGTTTTATGAATGTCAAATTTCTTTTGCAGTGTTCTGGGCCATCAATGGAACCAACTCTAGAGTCTAACAACATTCTCTTCACGGAGCATGTGACTCCACGGCTACAGAGATTGCGTCGTGGTGACATCGTTATAGCTAAAAGTCCATCGAACCCCAAGCAGAACATTTGCAAAAGGATCGTCGGATTGCCCGGAGACAAAGTTCGTGGACACTTTCCAAAACGAAGCCAGGTTGTGCCAAGAGGTCATGTATGGTTAGAAGGAGACAATTCTAGTAATTCAGCTGATTCGCGTGTGTATGGACCTGTACCGCAGGGTCTGATTCGAAGCAGAGTTGTGTGCCGTGTGTGGCCATTAGACAAAATAACATCCTTGACTGAATACTAGCAATAACAGATTTATAAGACAACTATGCTGTAAGCATAGACTATGTGTTTGTCTTCCAAAGACATTTTTGTAATGTAAATAGTAAAAATAAAGATTGTTTATTTTGAAATTGTTTAATAAATAACAAGGTACATGACTAAACTAGTTTAGATTGATTTCAATAGTCTTCACTGATCTGGGCTCCATCCGGAAAGCCAAGAGTCTTGTGTTTATCTGAACATTCACATTCATTTCTCGATGGAACCTGGAAAAAAGAAAATTTATTAACAATCTGAAAAGTTATTAATCACTTTTATTCCTTAGTAAAGGGGTGTTTACATTAGTCATTGTGTGCTATAATTTCTTAAAATAATAGCCAGGCTCATGCCCGTTTCCACCATCAATCCCTAATTTTTAAGTGACCCCTATGGTAACACAACAGCAATTTTGTTTTCCTAGGAGTCACTTAACCCTTATTCAAATAAAGGTAGATATATTACCACTTCGTTTACTTTTAAAAAGGATCCTAATTTTCGATATGGTGATACTTAAAGATATCGTGGTCACTTATTTATATTTTTAAATATATTTTTTTTACTTATCTATGCCATCTTACAACTTTTCAACGTCATTTGTCACTGTCAGGTAATGTCAAAGTCAACAAAACGGTTTTGGTATGAAAAATTTCAAGTTTTTAGCGCGCGTTTTTGGTATTTTTGAAACTTTGTTCAACGAAAATTCTGATAAGTGTTTTTTCGATTCAAAATCCTAAACTATAACATTTATTGTATAATCTCACTTACAGGCAGCGTCTGCAATTGATTTATTCATATAGTTTAGACATTTTAAAGAAGTGGTAAATAGTTTACCACTGTCCGATCCCTTCTTGACAAAAGTTTGATGATATATAAAAATAACTGTTGTTTTTTGTATGTGCACAAATAAAACTAAATAAATATTTGGAGAAATTTTAAGTTATTTTGATAACTGTTTACGTAACGTTTTGACATTACGTAATTAGTGAATTTATTGTAAGTTTCAGACTCAAGGCAGGCCTGGCTCACTCCTCGCGGTACGTCCGATAATTACCTACAGCGAAGCGCCCCGCCGGCGGGTATTATATCAGTCGAGTGTCACGCGCGCGCCCGTCAGGACGCTGGCGTGCGTTGTAGTACCTAATTCTATGATCGAAGTATTATTTAAAAATTGACATAAAGAGAAAGAAATATTATTGTGCGTCATTCGGGTGTTTAAATTCGAAAAGAAATCTACCGGATTTATCTTTTTTTTCGCTTCCCAAAGATGCTGAAAGGTATGTTGGCCATGTAGGTAATCAATAATTCTTAGGATAGTATAGGAACCTAACCTACCATGACTACTGCTCAGAATGCGTTCGTTCGTTTCAGCCAAATGACGTCCACTGCTGGACAAAGGCCTCTTCCAAGGTTTTCCATAATTAATGCGTACTTACCTACATACGTACCTCATTATAAATAAGTAGATTAATTATTTTTTCACTAGACAGCAACCCTAACAGCGTAAGAAGAATTCAGAGGCACGCGATAGAAAGAGACAAAACTTGTAGGTGAATAAAATTGTAGGTACGTAGTGCTGTGCGAGCTGAATTCCACTGTATCGCGTCGTAGCAAGACTCGCATTTATTTAAATCGTCTTGCGGAGTAATCCTTCTGTACCTGTACTATTACTTATTCTGTGCTAATGGTAAGCATAATAATTGTAAGCATAATGACCAATATTAATAAATATTATTTTTATAAAAACGATATTATTTCATTCCCAAAATATTTAATAAAATATAGGTAGAACCAAGAGGAAGTCACTAGTCAAGAACGAAAAATAAACCAAAACGGACAATGGTAACTATTTTACCACCAACATTGAATAATTTGTAGTCATGAATGGATAATGGTAAATTATTTACCACCCAAAAAACTACCCCTTCCCCTATTTTTTAATAAATTTTGATCAAAAATATGAAATAAGTGACCCACAATTACCCAAAATCCACTTCAACTTTGTAAAAAAAATGCATACCAGCTCGCATTTGAATAAGGGTTAAAAATTAGGGATTGATGGTGAAAATGGGCATCAGTCTCACTTGTGTACACCAAGGTGTCTGAAAATGAGATTGTGTGGCTAATCAATACATCTATGGGCACAGCTACAAGTAGTATGTCATGAATACTTCTAACAGAATCATTTTACCTGTTTTGAATCACCATAACCATATTCCCTTGTGGCGTCATCACGGCCAAGTGCTCCAATTGGAATATGCTGCTGCGAGAGACGAGGATACGGCGGGATCCTCTTGGTATGAATTTGGAGAAGTGGCCCATAGCGTAGTACATCGGCTGCTTGACGAATTCGTCATTCTCAGCATATACAAGGATGGGCGCATCTACGAAGTTGTTTGCCCAGTTGGGTCCACCGGTGGGGTCCAGGCACAGGTTCCAGTCGATCCAGCCAACGACATCGTGGTTCAGATCCTGAGAACATCAAAATGGAAAGGAGTTGAGGTTTAGCCAAACCAACGCGATCACACGCGATCAGCCGGCGTGCAGCGATGGCGATCAGACTTAAATGCATTGATATTGAAAAATCAAAATCAAAAAATCAAAATCAAAAATATATTTATTCAGTTTAGACCACAAGTGGCACTTATGAACGTCAATAGAAAATAATAAAAAAAGAAAAGGTAGCCCTTATGGGGCACTTTACATGTCTCCTTATCTTTTGGGCCCTACCAGCGCTTCGAGACAAACATATGGCAAGTGCTGAGAAGAAACGCCGGAACAAACTCAGTCACCACTTATTGCCAGGAATTATCTAACGGTAAGAATAGTCAAATTTAAGTACATCAAATATGTGCAGACTGAACTGACCACGCATCCTTGTCATCAATATAGTCTCGAACCTTGTAGTACCCTTTGGACATAAGGGTATTTTTTATATGTATCTTAAATTTGTTTATTGGCAATTCGACAAGGTTGTGTGGTATTTTGTTAAATATGGTAATACATTTCCCCAAGAATGAATTACCTATCTTATGCAACCTAAATGATGGAACAGCAAGTTTATTCTTATGTCTCGTGTTAAATGAGTGGACGTCACTTTTCTTAGTAAATAAATGTATATGTTTACGGACATACATAATGTTCATCAAATATGTATTGCGAAGCTACAGTCAATATATTGATTTCTTTAAAAACTTCTCTAAGCGAGTCACGTGGTTTAAGACCGTATATTGCCCGAACAGCTCTTTTCTGTGATTGATTGAGGTTTGACTGAACGCTTATGTAACTGGAGTATTCCCACCTCTCGTACCCACCCCTGCAACTCCTGTGTAGCCAGGATCTACAGCTTGATTGCTATAAAAAACCCAACCAATGAAGGTCAAGTTACAGCGCTTGTTAAGGCAAAGGATCATAATGGGAGTGATGATAGAAGAATCAAAAACTTACTTCCAAGATACTGGTAATGTATCTTCTCGCACGACGCCACGATCCGAGTTCAACTTTTTCTAAATCCCACGGCATCGGCCCTAAAAGTTACAAGAATACATTTTATTAAAATGTGTATGAGAACACGAATCTATTCACTTACCTCGAAGAAACCGACAGTAAGGTCTTGCTTATTGGCCAAATCTACCTAAGGTACGGGTAGGTAGAAAAACTCAAATTAGTTAGACTGGGAATAGAACCTGGGGTCTTTGGCCATTACGCTGACAGGCAGTCATGATTTATGATAACTGAGTCCCGATTACGGTAACTTTTAACGTTTCCAATCCAGACACGCTTCTCGATTCTGCGATACGATTGGTCGTTCAACAGCGTACGTCAGCTGTTTTGACCAATCGTATCGCAGAATCAGAAGCGCGTCTGGATTGGAAACGTTAAAAGTTACCGTAATCGGGGCTCTGGCTTGCGTTTTAGTAACATGCATGACGACAAAAAAAAAGACTGGGCGTGATTATTACCTACTAGCTTTCCGCCCGCGGCTTCGCCCGCGTGGAATTTTGTCTGTCACAGAAAAACTTTATCGCGCGCGTCCCTGTTCAAAAACCGGGATAAAAACTATCCTATGTTCTTTCCCGGGACTCAAACTATCTCTATGCCAAATTTCATCAAAATCGATTGCGAGGTTTAAGCGGGAAAGCGTAACAGACAGACAGACAGACAGACAGAGTTACTTTCGCATTTATAATATTAGTTAACTAAAACAAAACTGACTAACCTTCACAAGCTTCAGTAGAGAGCAACATCTTGTCAGGGTAACGATTTTGAAGGTTCCTCAATATGGCTGGAGGGAAAAAGTTCCCATAGTAATGGATTGCGATTCCGTCTATGTAGTCCAGAGCTCTAGGGTCCTCTCTTTCAATCTGAAAAAAGGCGTAAAATGAAAAAGTTGCATTTAGAATTTTTACCATACGTAATTGGGTTCCTTTTCGTTAGGTTAGGTTTTCGAAGTTTTTCGCTAAGTTTTCAAAAAGTAAGTGCTTTTTAATAAACTACTTATAATAGGTGCTATACTTACGCCAACCATGTAGAAATGCAATAGGTATCTCTGATCATCAACGGCCAAGAGAAGAGTTTCGTTGAATCGAGAGTTTCGTAATGTGGGGCCAAGATTGTTCGCCACCCAGCGAGCCTGTAAGTAAATAAGAAAAATACATATTTTATTAGTATAAAAAAATCCTGTTCCTTAGGTACTTACATACCTACCCACATACTTAATGTTTTACCTACATGAAACGGATTCAAAATATTTGTAGTAAAAGTTATTCGCTATGCTTGATTTTGAATTGACTGTTCACGAAGTAAACATGTACCTAATTTACAGGGTATTTGGGAGTTCTTGACGAAAGGACTTTGTTTACTAACCATTTGTGAGGGCAGCCATCCTAGCGAGTTGAAGGGCGCCAGGGGCACGATGCCGTTGATGGGTTCATTAGTCGTAGTAATGGCCCAGAATTTCACGCCTGCCTTTTCGTATTCTTCTAAGAAACTGAAAGTTTACAGTAAAGTAAAGACTATTAGGTTTGGTACAAAATTCATAGCGCAATAAGTAGCAAATCAACAAAGGCAAAAATGTAGTCTGATGTGCTGTAAACAGTAGGTACCCTGAGCACGAATAACTCGTAATTGTATATATAGCGAGTTGTTTTTTCATACAAATAAAACTATTATCGTTTACTATAGGTACCTACCACGAGCGCGATATTCATTCGTGCTCAGGGTACCGTACCTAATCTAGTAATACGATTTATCGGGGCCAGTTAAATCATCAATTGTCACGTTTTGAAGTATTATTTCAATTAGGAAATAGTTATATGTTTTTACCGTATGTGGTAGTCGGCAAAGGCCTGGTAGTACTGCGTCCTCAGTTGCCCGAAGCCGGTGATCCGTTCGTTGGTCTTCATCCAGACCGGAGGCGACCAAGTACTGGCAGTGTTCTTCACTTCAGTCGTAGCAGCGCGTATACATCTCAGCAACATAGGCAACTGGAATTAAAATAAGTTATGTTTATAGTCCACCCACAAGGTGGACCGACGACCTCATAAAGGTAGCAGGAAGGCGCTGGATGCAGGCCGCCTCCAACCGGCCATTGTGGAAATCATTGGGGGAGGATGTTCAGCAGTGGACGTCCTATGGCTGAAATGATGATGTTGTTAATGAATACTTTGGCTTGACTGTGACTAAGTAAGAACTGTGACACAACTGTGAGATGGTACGTATTTTGAGGCTTTGTGGTTTATTGGTAGAGGATGATTTGTACAGTCGGCGTCAAATAATTCGTCACACCCAAAGTAACCAAATTCGCAACTTTTTGGCCACTGGGTATCACGAACTAGTTTCATCTATTTTTCATAATTATGTACACTTTAACGTGACTCACGCTGTATAAATATCTTTGGACAATCTCACACAGCGCCATCTAGCCCCAAAGTAAGCAATTAATATGCTTGTGTTATGGGTGCTAGCTTAACGGATATACTACTTATATACTTTTTTTTTAAATACATACATAATTATGCATAGTAACACCCAGACCCGTCACAGAAATTAAAATTCATCATTTCAATTTCTGCCCGGCCGGGAATCGAACCCGGGACCTCTCGGCATAGTAGTCCGTTCTGAACCACTACACCAAACGGCCGACTAAACTACTTGACGGTGACTGTGCCTAGAGCCTTAACCACGGCTTAATACCATAATTTTTGTATAAGACGGATACAATATGTACAAGGAAAGTAGAAATCGTGAAAATTGATGGCTTTTATCAAATTGATTCCGAATTTTGCTGAGCAGATAAACTGGGAAATTGTAACCAAAATTTCTTTTGTTAAGTACCTTGTAAAAGTAGTCTTCGCTGGTGAGCGAGAAGTTGGTGAGCCCTGCATCATGCCACGGGTAGTCGTTCAAGGTGTAGGGGTGCGTGGAAAAGTCGGCGCCTCCGATGTGGGTGCGAATCAAGTTGTACTCGATGCCTTCAGGTCCGAAATACGTGCTGAAAATACGAGTAAGTAGTAAATGTCAATAAAAATCACTAAAATATTTGATAATGTTTTTTAGGCTTTGACAAAAAGCAAGCGTAAGTAGTACAGTTTACAATACTGTAACAATTTCAGCTGATTTGTAATATCAGCTAACTAGGTACTTATTTTTCTTAGATTGGTGCGCTGTTCTGTCTTCAGAAATTTTGAAATGGAGTGATAATGTTTATGCATCACGTTACAGAAAATTATAACTTTTTATTTTAACTTATCAATTTCACTTTAATCGAAATTTCTGTGTTAGGAAAAGGTACGCAGGTTTACGCATGTAAGTAAAAAATTATGTATAATAATATACTCACTTAACCATTTGAGTCTGTGCTGCATCAGAGAGTTTGCGCCAGTTGATGGCTGCAGCATCGGTGACGGACCCCCCAAAACCCTCGATTTTTTGGAACTGAGTGTTTGTGAACGCGCGCAGGTTCACAGTGTTGAATAAAGTCGCGTTTTGTTGTGCATCTGAATGAAATAGTAATATTACATTAACTATGGGCAGCAGGGCGTATAGTACGCAGAACTGACGGCCGATGGGGCAGCAAGGTTCTGGAATGGAGGCCACGTACTCGAAAGCGTCGTCACGTCGAAACGTCCATCCACAAGGTGAATCGGCGACCTCATAAAGGTAATAGAAAGGCGCTGGATGCAGGCCGCCACCAATCGGCCATTGTGGAAATCATTCGCGGAGGCCTATGTTCAGCAGTGGACGTCCTATGGCTGAAATGATGACGATGACATTAACTTATCCAGATGATGTGATAAGGCATTGATATTTTCATGGGTTGTACCAACCTTCGCTATCATCCTCGTCGTCCATAAAGTAGCCGCGATTTTCATCTACCACTTCTTCCTCTTCCTCTGGAGCTGGTTCTGTAGTTGGTTCTGGAGTTGTAGGTGTTGGCATGTCTTCTAATTCACCAAAGAATTTCTCAAAGCGCTGGCCGGCCTGAAATGACAATATTAATCATTATTTACCTGCCTATCTAGCACATGAAACTAATAGATTTTTCTCTCAAAGTGATTCAGGGTTGATAAGGTGTGTTAAATAAATGTATCTATCTTTTATTATTTTTACTTTATTCTTCTTTTTTTTTCATATCCATTTCAACCAAAAGAAATCCATTGTTACAAAAGATTTCCACAACGATCGTTACTGTGCGGTCCAGGCGCTTCCCGCCACTCAACACGACGGTCCACGGAGTCGGATGCCTAAATGCTTAACCATACTTTAGTGGCAGATTTACCAGCAGGCTGAGTAGGCTGAAGCTTAGGGTGGCACATTTAGTTCATAAAGTTTTTATTTCGTTTGACAAAATTAATAACATAGTCCTATACATATTACAGCCTACAAGCGGCAAATCAGTAAATCCGCCACTGCTGATATTTCCAAATTAGTTGGATATTATGTACTCGTATAAGGACTAAGTGGCAGTGGGCGGGGCACATAGCTCGTAGAGACGATGGCCGTTGGGGCAGAAAAGTTCTTGAGTGGCGACCACGGGCTGGAAGACGTAGCGTGGGCAGGCCTCCTACTAGGTGGACCGACGATCTGGTAAAGGTCGCGGGAAGAGCCTGGATGCGGGCAACGCAGGACCGTGCATTGTGGAAAACCTTGGAGGAGGCCTTTGTCCAGCAGTGGACGTCATTTGGCTGAAACGAACGAACGAACGAACGAACGAACAAGGACTACTATACCTGGCTACTAGTGTACATGACATAGCCTCCTGGAGTTGGTTCTTCGCGTGTGATGGTGTCACAATAGTTGGCATCGCAGACGCAAAGTATTGAACGTCCTTCTATGCCGGTTTCTCTGACTCGACATGGTTTGTCCTCTGCAAATAATAATATAATTGGAACTTTAGTACCTAAAGTATGGTGGTTATTAAGAAAGGAGGAGTATTAAACACGAAAGAATGGTTGTGATCTTAGGTCCCTGTTAAAAAAACGGTTGTAACAGACTAAACGACATTGGTGTAAGAAAATGTTTATAGATTTGACTAATACTTACCAGATTTGATCGTAGTCCATGACACCAGCAAAACTATCACGAATAATCCAAGCCGGGTCTCCATCTGAAAATTGTAACAGGCGTATAGATAGATAAATCTAAGAAAAACCTGACTAAGTAAACTTTGCCTCCAAAGTTAATAGTTAAGAAGTTAGGTAACTACCAGTTAATTTTTTCAACTATAACAGAATACGCGAATGCATTATTATCACATGATGCGTTGTCTTCAATGCAGTCGACGAATCGTGTGGTACGCCCTTTCGCATATAAAGTTAGATTAGAAATCCTCCGGCTCTCACGCAATCACAGTGGAAATAGTTTCTTAGTAAGATTACAATCGTTAAATTTTATATCTCCCAAGAGATGCGTGTACCTTTAGGTTTCCAATACCTTGTAAAATTGCTAAATTAGAACCTAAGTCAGGGAAAATTAGAAACCTTGTACCTTTTTAATGAGCTTGCATAAATTAAAAACTTAACTAAGGTACTTGATACAAATAAGGCCTACGTTCTAATAAGGCCTATGCATCAGAAAACACAGATAAATAAATCCAACCGGGATAATACTTCAAAGACACGTACTCATATGCCCTATAACCCGGTAGAGTGCAAGAGCGTCCCGATCCAAGATCCCAGCACCAATTGGCACGCGTTCTTCTGAGGTGGTGGGTGATTTCGTGCTGTCTTATAAAAATCTGGCGATTTCATCTTAAATTTTCGGTAAAATGACGCTGTTTTAGATTAAGCTTTTCTTGGTAATCGTTTCTAAATATTTCTTACTAGCTAATAATTACCTTAATTAGTACTACTGGCTATAGATGCATTATTTGTAAATTTTTAAAGACAACAAGAGCGAGATACCTATTAAGGCCTAGGCCTTATTTCAGCATAGTAGGCCATATTAGATACTTATGTTAACACCTGATTACGGACAAATTCGTTAAACTAAATCCCANTCATCAGTGAGTGAGTGAGTGTCGTAAATGCGAAACTTTGCTTTCGCATAACTTCGGAACTAAATGACCTACAGACTTGAAATTTAGGATTTTAAGTATGTGATTATAGCTTACTAGATGACGAAAATTTCTGCGTTCTGGTCTTATCCAGAGGGTCTCAAATAGGGGTCTGAAAATGCGGCGAAATGGTTCCAGTAAAGGATGGTACGGCAGTGTTTGCTTCGCGCTCGACTTGGCGGGGGCACTGCCGTGCCCCCAGATGAGTAAAAGAGTAACTAAATATTTATTTAATAAGAATGTTACTGACAGCACAGAAAATAAAAAGAAAACAGAGTCGAAAAAAATTACAAACCCTGTAAAAAAAGAAAAAAAATAAAAAATAAGAAAAAAAGGCGCATGTATAATTCTAAAGGAAAGAAGAATAAAATCTGGTATTATCATACCTGTCTCGAAGACAAAGTAACAGATATGCGGCCATAAAGGACTGCTTTTGGTGGTATCACAAATATTGTGTAGGAGTTCGTAAAGATGATTCAGAAGAATTTTTATGCACTGGTTCTAATAAAAATAGAGATCTCATTTTGTTCACAAAAATTCAAGACTAAATGATATTCCTTAAGTGATTTATTTAAAAGGTTTTATGTGTAGGCCTTATTCGAACACGGTGTTTTAATAAGCCCTATACAAAAAAATAATATTGTTTGGTTTTGATATTTTTTTCAATAATATATGTAAGGAATCATTATTTTGTTACTATGAATATTTAATTTTATCTATAATTTATGTATAATTCTTAATAAGTGGAATTTAAGTTTATCTAGAGATATAGAGTATATTTCTGTTTACTAGGTGTGTAAAATTTTGAAAACGCAAACAAATCGACGTGTTTAATGTTATAAGACCACATTTTGTTTAATACAACCTCAATTTTAAGGTCTAGAGGCATTTGAATCATATAGGCCTTATTCCGTGTAGGTGATTTATTAAAGCCAAAATCAGTGGTTTCGTAATTAGCTTATTTTGAAGAGATTTAGTTAAAAGTTGTGTTATTTTTTGTAATATTGCTAAAATTAAAGGATGGAAGAAGTTAATTAACCTTGTTTTTGTTGATTGGCGCTAATATTTATTAAAATATAAGCATTTAAAGTTAGGTAGGCCTTATTTGTATCAAGTACCTTACTAATGACCCGTTCAAAGCTTTAATTAATTGAATAAAAGTATAAAAAATACACTATTTGCGACTTACCTTGTGTAAAGATGGTATTCAACAAAATGTTATTAACTTGGTGGAAATTATGAACTTATCAATCTGATTACTTTATCTGTGAAGATAATTAGGGGCTAATTAATTGTAATAGGTATGGGTTATCTTATAAATCATTATACTTATTGGTGTTGGTGGTCACCACTCTTATTTTTTTGGAATTCCATTCTGTTACCGTCATTGCATCTTGTTGGGTACCTAAAGATCTAAAATAGCAGCAGGTCAGATGACTATTAACTACCAAACTATTTAATACATATTTTGGATGTAGAGTCAAATCGTTTATCCGTCAGTGAATTTTCCCTGTTAACAAACTCCACCTTTATTGGTTTTGGAGAATATTTAAAAATACTTATTGCACCATCAAAGGGCGAATTTTAGAGCCCAAAATGCAGAATTACATAATGGGTTTAATTATAAAATATGTAGTTACCTATGTATTATCTTCAGACATAGGTACATTGCGAAATCTTCCATGGTCTAGGCTCGCACTGTATTTACATTATAATTTATTGATTGCTTGCTTTGTCTGGCCCATACCCATTTTATTTAGGGTCGGCCCTCCGCGTCATGCGTCTCCAGGCGGCTCGGTCCTGGGTTGTCATACTGTTAACTTGATTATAATTTATTGATTAGGTACAGATAAGTAATTCACGTTTGATTACGATAATTTTGTTGTTAAATACAGTAACTAAATATTGGTGATAGTTAATACTTGCGAATTATGAGATAACCCGATACTAAGATAACGATTTGTAGGTATACCTATCTCCTACTTACCATGTGCGTGTGTACCAACATTGTGGAAATATTTATAAAATTTATGTAGCTAGGTATGTGCATTTGTCGTATATTTGATTTATAATTCAAAATATACTTTTACAAAACTTGTAACTTGTACATATTTGAATGATCAAACGAACTTACCAAGTGAAGTTCGATCTAAATTATCCTGTTTTCGCCGAAGAGATTTATTTTACCATGTAGTAGTACCCCTGTACGACAACCCAATCCGCACACAATATTCAGCGTAGTAGTAGTAAAAAACAAAAGAGCGGGCAACCCCACCCCTACCACGCTGTGGGCTCGGTGTCCGAGCGGTCTCATTATATTTAGAGAAGAGATGACATTGACGTTTACCTCCAGGGAAGAAGATATAGAAATCTTCGGGTTGGGAGGGACCTTAAATCTCTTCGGCGAAAACAGGATAATTTAGATCGAACTTCACTTGGTAAGTTCGTTTGATCATTAAAAAATGGCTACTGGTTAACATCGCGCGTTAACTTGGAGCTAAAAATGGGTCAAAGTTACGCGTCGTGTCACAACGCTTATAATAAAAATGTACGAGCACTTGCACAAAATAGTTGTTAAAACCAACCTTGTGTTGGGTCTAATTCTCGTCACTACACTGCACAACTTAAAATAATTACGTTTTTTGTCGGTAAAAACGTCCTGGTGACGTCACTTAAGCATTTTTCTTATACTGCGTGCGGTCGTTGCGCGTGCGCACAAAGGAATGAGACCGCTCGGACACCGAGCCCACAGCGTGGTAGGGGTGGGGTTGCCCGCTCTTTTGTTTTTTACTACTACTACGCTGAATATTGTGTGCGGATTGGGTTGTCGTACAGGGGTACTACTACATGGTAAAATAAATCTCGGAGGCGAAAGCAGGATAATTGACGATGTGGCACCATCTTTAATGGCTAATGCATTTGGGAACTCTCCTCCAGTTAACTGTTAGGTTAAGATTTGAAGATTTGTAATAGGTATAAGTATAGGTAGAACAAAATCAATTCACCTTTTCATCACCTACTTTTTTAGAGTTCCGTCTAAGTAAATAAATAATAAACACATAAATTTAAGAAGACAATATAATTAAATTTTCATACAAATTTTAACGTAATATTATCTTTAAAATACTGTACAATGTCAGCTGGTTTTGCAGCAAATCATTTGCTGTAGGTAGTAACAAAAGTAATACACTCGTCGTATCTGAAGAAAATAGGCAAATGATTGTCTCCAAATCCGCCGACTAAATCTTTAATATTTTCATTTTGATATGGCAGATTGTCGATATGAAAAACTTTATAGAAGCAAAAATCGCTTAAAGTATCTACTAACAACTGAAAAATGCACTAAAGTATAATTTATTTACATGACACGACCTTTATATTATTGCATAACGCCGTAGGCTTTTCAAACAATTCCGTTTATACTATTCTAGCAAAAGGATTTATTATTATCGAGTTAATCTCCCTTGAGTACATAATTATAATAAAAGTAAAAATCACAACTAAGTAAGCAGATCTTTTTGCTTGTTTTTTCACGAATTTCCGTACACAATGATAAAAGTTGTGTCGATTTAATATCCTTCAGAAAACAAATTAGAAAAATGTAACAGAACATTTGACCATCTTTATCTAAATGTGTAGATAACATTTTATTTTGGAAAATATTAAGCATTAATAGCAGAAGGAAGAAAAATATAGCACTAAACTCTACTTTTATTATTGGTCCATGAATGAAGTACAAGAACAGTCAAACTATCTGTTACAAAGAAATTAAGTTCAATCGCTTGCTTAAGTACTAGGTACGTGACAACATTACCTACAATTTCTGAACGACCATCGCCATAAAACAAAAAAACTTAAAGCTATTCACTTTACAATTTACCTAATATAACTCTATCAAATAAATACAAAAATCTCTTATTATTATCTAAGATAATATTTTCCTACCTCATGTCTTGAAACTAAATACTATGTAATGCACATAAACTTAACTGATTAAAAATAATATGTGCGCGTGACCGCGCCGACGGGAGGACCCTTATAATATTTGACTAAAAGAGAGATCAAATCATTGCCACATAAACTTATTGTATCGACCGGCTGGCTAGCGAGCAGTATACTCCTTTGTACTTTGAAACTTGAAAGAGCCGCGGTGATATAGTAGGTACAAAGTCTATCCATTTTGAAAAGGCTTCAAATGTCTAAGAAATTCAAATTATTAATATTCAGTAACTTTTTCATATTTAAATAGTGATTTATAGGCAACTCAAATACGATGTCTGTACTATCATTATAGTTAGATAAATCATTTTTAGGCGTTCCAAAATAAATAGACATAAGGTTGAGTTTAAAAATCTGGGAGTTTACACGTCCCGGTTTAGATGAAAATTATTACAGGCCGAGTTTTTTAACAAGGTGACGTCAGGTATAATTCTTATAAGAGCCAGGTAATCTTATACCGGCCATGAGGATAATTTAATCACAACACTTGTATCATAACAGAATCTTAATTAATTTAAAATCGATCAAAAGAGATCGTCAACGTAGATTAAATACTTACAACCGATATCACCTTGTTTTTTGAACACCTAAGAAAATAGCTGCCTAGAAGAATAGTGTCATAGGTGTTACAAATCAATGGGGACAAGAAAAAGAACGTTACAATAACTCTTACATTTAACATGTGACCGAACGTCTATTCTCTCGTATGATACAATTTAGTACAGACCCTAACTGGCAGACCATGTGAACACATGAACACTTTAACGTAGGTACATACGAATATTATATACATGTAGGTACAATTTGAATAGTTATTGTGGCAAAGACTGTTATCAGTACGACTATCTGGCAAATCATACTAAGAACAGAAGTGTCTTACGACCTAACAAGACGTTAAAATAAGTAGGTAGTTAACGTAAGAAGCATATGAGTGCGTTTAGATAACAAAAGTAAAACGTTAGACTGAAGTATTTACACTTTAATTTGACGAGAAACTGAAATAATGATCAACTCACCACGAGTTGCGCGAAATGTGGCGGTTTTAGACATACCTTAATACTCTACATTTAAACCTACGCATGATTCAAGGACCCTACACTAAAATTTTAACCTTTTCACTGCTATTTATTATATCTCTTATACTTTACTATCTTCTCTTAGCTCAAACCAGTGAAAAGATTAAACTGCTCAAGTAATTTATGTTAATGTAACATAATTATAGAGGCACTGTGTGTATTCAATTCTATATCATCTTATTTGACATTATTTTACACAACTATACCGAACGTTATTTAGCATTAAGAATTATGTAAAATATTATTGTTACTCTTATTTCTTTTACCGAAATAACAATCTCGTCAGGACCACGTGAGTGGTTATTTAAATTTTATATACAGTGAACAGTAATAATGAAGATAATACAGAAAACAGTTTTAAATTATAATAGAGATATTAAAAATTGAGCTATACAATAAACATTCAGTTATAAAAATACTTGTAGCGTAATTTTCAGATCACAATTTGCTATGTTAGGTTCACATTAAAATATTTTTTGATTTAATGAAGAAAGTGGTAGATAGAGTTCTTTGATTTATGCCAGACTAAGTCGAGTATACATATAATATGGGAATATGAAGTAGGATTCTGAAGACGTTAAAGAAGCACAAGACAAAACATAGTGTAGGTAGAATATAGAAATTTTCATTTCTTTTCTCTTTAAGGCTTTATGAGCAGATGGAAGGAGTTTTTAGCATTGCGACTCTACATACTGCTGTACCTACGAGTACGTACTCTATTATTGCACATTCATGGTCTGAATTTATCAATGTAATATCGAGGATGATGCAGTAATGTTAATGTCGTCTGATAAATTAACATGAAAGAGAGAAAAAAGAAAGAAAATATTTAAAATGTATCGCGTCAAAGAAACACTGGCTGGGGCAATAGCTAAAATGTAATGAGCACAAAAAGATGAAAAGGAAGGTTATATGAAACTAATGTGCTACAGTTTAAACTTAAGATCGAAATTGCCACAAGAAAGGCAGAATCAAGAAATGGAACGATTAAGAAGGAAAGAAGAGAGAAAGAAAAAGGGAATGGCAAGAATTTGAAACGCCTCATGGCTAAGAATAATTACCGGTTGTTATTTTTAGATCTAATACAGCCAACGAACAAACATAAGTAACTGTCACCGATGAAACGACTTGACAATAACTACATAAAACCACATCACTCGTATCTACCGATATTTTTGGATTGTTATGAACTCTTGAAATACCATCTTTACTGGTGACAGAATAGCACTGAATTTAGATAACACATTCATGTAAAAGCATTTTTTCTTCGATGAGCATTGTATTTATGTACTACGTACAGAACAGACATTCCAAATCGAGTGATTGCCTGGAATTACGCGTATTGCAACTGTTTTAGTTAGTAGGTAAAGACATCATGACATAGAAAGTACATATTGTTTTTTTTAATTGTTTTGTTAATTCCCAATCAACATTGAAATCATACAGGTTTTTGATTCAGCTATGTCTAACAATAAAGAGACATGCCTTGAGTATTTTGAAAGTGCCCTTTTTTATTATATTTTTGGGCTAACAACTTATAACACCATAAATGGCGTGGATAAGCCACAATGATATAAATAAAATTGTCATCTTTGTCACCTGTTTCGTCACAAGTCAGCTTCTATTATGTCCCATTGAAATGTCAGTTAGTTCATTATAGCTCTGAGGTCACCAAATGTCACAAGATTTTTGAGCTTAACATTGGACACCTAAGGCCGCTTGTACACGCTAAGAAAAGTCGCCAGGCCTACGCAGGAAATTGTGTCGTTTCTACACACAAACCGTGTAGGTATATTACTCCGGCACTGACCAAGATGTAATTTTTGTCTTCGCTAGATACGACGCGCGGTGTACGCGCACTGTGTGACTTTTCGTAGCTAGGTCCGACGAAATTCTTGTCTTGTGGGCAGATACGGTGAAATTACTTGGCATGTACAAGAAGCCTAATGGATTTGCAAATGCGCGCTCTATGTCGTGTCGCCTTCAGCTACCCACGTGACCGACTCAGGCGCACCGTTCGGCATGACTGCTCTAGTACACTTAACTCATATGCGCACGCGTTCGGACGCTTCAGTCTTTGACGAGCCGGTAGATATGGTGCTGTGCGCCATGCTCACTGTTTGACACTTCGAACACAAATGCCGCGCACAGTAATGTCTCTTGTGTGTCTCTATTTGATACCACCTGGGGAAGAGAAAATGGATTTGTTAATAACGATGAACTGAAACTGAAAATAATCTTTCTATAAAATAAAGTTGCTCCAGCTTTCTGTACGCTTAGATCTTTTAAACTACGCAACGGATTCTATTTAACGCAGTCTTCAGCAATAGACAGAAGGCTGAAGTTACAGTATCGCGTTATGAGAAGTTTGTCAATTGACTGGTGGTGTTTTATGGCGAAAAAAAGAGAAAAACATAACATGTGATGTAGACTGCAGAGCTTTATGATCAATTTTACATGGCTAGACGCCGTAGTCCATAAATATTTTTTTCTGTGAATACTTAACTAGACGGATATGATAAGGGATTGATGCCCGTTTTCACCATCAATCCCTAATTTTTAAGTGACCCCTATGAAATCAAAATTCCATATATCGATACCTCTGGGCTCAAAGGTCGTAAAGGACAAAATACCGAAAATGAGTTATTTATACAGTTTTACTCAGAATTTCATTCTCTATCGATCTGTATATTTAGTTTGTCGAAAATCCCAAAAAAAGTGCCTTTACGACCCATCATTTTTGATAAGCTAAACAGAATTCATCGTGAAAATTGGGATGTAAATAACATTTGATTTTTTAGTACAGTTACTATGGTAGTAAAGAACAAGTAAACACACATTTTTGGGCGTATAACCTAACATTTCATACCAAAGTCTAAATAATTTGTCCTTTACGCCCTTAGATTATCTAAACAAATATTTTAAAAATCTACAAAGAGAGGATATTAAAATAACTGAAAAGGTAAATTTATTAGATGTTTCTTATTGTATTTAAGTATGTGCGTTTGGAACAAACGAAAGAAATAAAAAATCATCAAAAATATGTAATAAAACTATTTTAGAGTGTAACATTTATGTGATTTGTACATATAAAATGATGACATCTACCCACATCGGGTAAAGTAATGTTGCTTTTTATTATTTCTCATATTTGAAGAAACTAGGTATTTGTCAGGGAAAAAGATAATTTTAAAAGATGATTTAAGAAAATGAAAACATGCTATAAAATAACGTATTACCTAATTAAGGTAGGATAGTCATCATAAAAATTGAAAAAATGAAAAAGTTACATTTGTTAAGAATATTATGAAAAAAAAAGTCACCTTACTGTAGTACCTCAACGGCCGGTTCACGCATGTCTCCGTTTTACTGTTTCGTTTTATCGTGTACGTTTTTTTTTCGTCAAGTACAATAACATAAAACGGAACAGTAAAACGGAGACATGTGTGAACCGGCCGTAAGGTGTCATTATTTTGTATGCACATTGCACAAATCACAAAAATGCTACATTTTACAATTGTTTTTAATGATTTCCTAGTAATTTTGACTAACGCCCTCGGTCAAAACCACTTTTGAGTTTTGACTGTAATAATTATAATAAATAAGTATAGTTTCTAAAGTTATTTGGATCAGCTAATAAAATATAACTAGCAGGAAAAATATTTACACAACATGGGAAACATAGTGTCAGTTGAGACTTCAATCTACTAAAAAGCGTGAATGCACTTTTTTTCGAAGTTATATTTTTATACTACAAAATAATTGGCTTTTAAAAACGGTATTATGTAGGAGTAAAGTAAGTGGATGTACTTTACTGGAATGAAAAACTTCCTACTTGTAATCTTACTTACTTAACCTTTCTACTTTTGTACCAAGTACAATAACATAATTTCTAGCTACTATGAATAATAATGTTTAATCTATTTAGAATTTAGAATAACTAGTTTGGTTTTCCTTTGTCCTTAATAATTCTATCCTATCTGCATTATCATAAGGTCAACTGGTTGACAGACTGCCCTATGGAATTAAGTCCGCCATTTGTAGTTTTTCGAAAAATTAATAATGATGAAATAAATAAATAAAATCAAATTGGTTTCGGCTTTTCGTAAAAAGTAGACATTTAAGAAGTTTTATTTAAAAGCGTCATAATATTTATTTTCTAAATTCGCTCTTATATCGGAAATGGTATCTTCTAGTTCGAAGATATCAAAACTTCTGCTTAAATAGTTTCTAAAATTGTGTGCATTAAATTATGAAGCTACGAAAAATCATTTTATTTCATTAAAAACAAACATAATTCATTTAAATATGTGAAGAAATGGTATATTACATATCAAATACCATAAAACATTAAATATTTAAGCTAAATTATCAATTTTTCCTTGCATAATACCTTACCTGGATGTTCCGTTTACGACCTATGAAAACCTATAAAACTATGTAAATTGTCATTTATTACCTTGGTTTTGTAGTTTTGTAAAATAAAAATAGACTTACGTCCTGAGCAACTTGCCTAGGACGAATATTTGAGGGGCGTAAAGGTCTTTTAAATGTAATTTCGAGGGCGTAAAGGAAATCTATCTCAGTAAATACAGCTCTAGTCCAATTTTTCAATACCTCTTCGGAAAATGCTGTGAATTCTAAGCACTTTCTTCTTAGGTCATATTTTAATAGCTCGAAAAACAAAAAAGTTACTGTCGAATAAAAAAATAAAAATTCGTTTTTTGCTTCTCCTGAAAAGTCGTACTTTGTCCTTTACGACCTTTGAGCCCAGAGGTATCGATATATGTGTTACCAGGGTCACTTAAAAATAGGGATTGGTGGTGAAAACGGACATGAGAAACCCTTTGCCTGTGGCGTAAAGTAGCCGTATTCTCCTCTCAAGTGATGCGCCAAATCAATCAACCACCATAAAAACGTAACTGTCACAAAATTGAGCAGCCAAATCGGTACCAACCTGTAGTATAGTGAAGTTTTCGAGCACACTATTCATCATGTACTTCTCGGGCAGGTGCTTGAGCTTGTGTATGAAGTTGACCATGTACTCGCACATCGGCGACCGGTGGATGCGGTACACGAATCGCCCGCTCTCGAACCGAGCATATTCCGTCTCCACCTTCTCCACTACTTGTTTCCCGAACGAACACACTTTGGTGCTGCACGTTATCGTCATGTTCTCGTTGCTTTCGTATCTGGAAAGGTTGGAGTAATAAATTAGATTTATTCACAGATCACAGAAACTAAAGGGAGTTGTGACAAGGGGGCGGGGCCGGTGTCGCAGCAATATGCCCAAAAACAGAACACATTGCTCGTGAAAGCGATGATGACAGCAGCGACGTTATAATGTAAACAGCTTACATTGCTTGCGTGGTACTAAATATTATTCGAACGTTGAGTACTGATACCGCAGTGGATAATGAGCACATAATATATTTTGATTAAGCACTTTGTGTGTGTGAATTTCTAATGCGACACGAGTTTCGAACTCAGCGCATTAGTTGGTATATCTCTATGGATAAAACTTATGTATTTAGTAATATGAACTCGCATTTTGAAATTGACTTTCTATCGGCAAACAACTAATAGTTACTCGTTTTTTTGGATCTTAGGAGTAAGAAAAATAAACGTTAACAGCCCTTACAAGTGGCGGTCCCTGTTCCATTGAAGTCTTTACGATTAAACAATAGTTAAATCAAACGAACTGATCGCGTTTATAGCGCCATTAAATGACCAATTAGCACTAAATGAAGATAGCCAATGTCTTGTAATTCGATCATTAATGCACGCTAGATTTTATTACCTACTTTTAATGAGTAGTACGCTGCTGTTCCAGTTAATGGGAGTTAGAATACTGAATAATTAAAAGTACTCCTTCGTTTGACCATTATTTTGATGACTTAGGAACAGGGTTTTCTATAGCGAATGAGAGACCTCAAATAGGGGTGGTCGGGTGGCCACAAAACTTCACAGTTGGGGTTAGCCTGTACCTACCCTGGAGTCAGACGTTACTTTGCTTTGCTTCTGGCCATGGCCTGGACATTTGGCCTACACTAGCAAGTCACACAAGTTAAGGGTTTGGCTAGATATTCGTTATAATTTAGCTTTGCTTTCTCAGACGCGCTCGTGCAGTGGAAATTATATGACCTGATGATGATTATGTCAATAAATAAAGTGACTTACACACTAGTAACCCCATAAAAGGCACCGGGGTCGTCCAGATTGCTTGTGTTGAGGTCCGCCCAGAACTTGACGAGGAAGAACGCGTTTCTTGGGCCCTTCTCGTATAGTTCTTTGAGGCCTCCTTTCTTCTCCGGGAACTTATCGTTTATTTGTTGGACGTCTACGGACTGTGGACAAAATACATCATTACATGTATTTACTTTATGAATTGGAGAAGACATTAAGTGCTAAGGATATACTTAACGCATGCATGTTCTTAAACGCGTTTCCACAACATATTTTTTCCTAGACTGCATCAGCGATATTTAAGCATGAAAACCTTATTCTACTTAGGCCCGATTCAACCAAACTTTTATCCGAGAATAACTTCTGGATAACAGGCACATTAACAGTTTCAGTATGGAAAATATGTCAAAATGTCGAATATTAACTGACGATGTATTCTGAGATTAATATTTACTCTTGTTTGGTTGAATCCACCCTTAGTAATATTGACTTAATGTTCCTTAAACCCTCAGCTACAGAAGGATATAATTGGTTCACGTAATATTGGTCGCTATTACATCAAATAATTCAAATACTCACTTCTAGTAAAGGATCCGCGTATGTGACTGTACCACCTATATGAACGAACAAATGCTGCGCCGGCGCTGCGCTCGGGGGATACTGAAAATAAATAGTTCTAATTAGTATAAGCAAGTATAACTTCAATAAGCACAAACTTTCAGATTGATTTTGATTGATAAATAAGGCAATATTTGCAATAGCTGTTGCAAAGAGACATAGGGTATGAGTGTATATTAGGTACAGTACTTTGCAATTTGCATTCCATTCTCCTATTATATGGCATAATTAGATTTTGCCGAATTAGTATTTGAAGTAGATTTTTGCACTGAAACGTTAGTCAAATATTAACTTCATAGACAATCGCTTCTTCAATATAACCAACGGCTGTCATAAAAGATTCTGAACATGCACGTTTCCGACTCGAAATAGCAGAGGTCGTCTCGAATCTACCATTGGGGCAGATCTGTAAAGTGTATCAGGGCATCCAAAGTTCAAGGCCCGGGCAGTCGTAATGCAGCATTCGCTACGGCTCTTATTTCATACTTCGCGATCATTCTTGGCGGGTCATGGCCACGATGGGACGGTGCTTGACAATGTTAAAGCACTACAGGGGGTCTGTGCAGCGAACGATTTTGATAAATGTCCTCTGTCTGTTTCTAGGCTAGTTTTTTGGAGCTGCTGTCAAAATCTATACAAATTCAGAGCATAGAGATGATTGAGAGATTAGCTTTTAAGCACTATTACATTACAACCTGTTTAAGGAGGTATTTTGAGAAGGTGTTTTCCTGCTCACAAGTAAAAGGGTGGATCAATCTGATGTATCAGGCGATCTTTCTATAGTTAATTTGACGAAAGCTATGCAAAGAAGTAATAGGTACATTTAAGAGATAGGAAAGTCGATGATGATGACTTAAGCGACCAACACATCTGTCCCTAGAGACTAGTCTGTCTGCTTCTATCTATCCTAGTGCATCGACTCTTGAGCCGGTACGGGCGTTGAGTTGGTGCTCATGGCCCGTGCTTCTTCTCGGCTGGTTACTGCCAGTCGGTGGTTGAGGCTTCACTTGGCGACGGACTGACCTGAGGCTTCTACCTGGCACCACTGTCCCGCCCTCGGCACGGTACTAGCCCACCGGGTGAGTCGACGTTGGTCGAGGCCCAGTGAACGACCAGCGAGCGGGCGGTTCCTGGATGCCAGGGAGCTTTCAGGTAGTTATGGACCTGTCTGCTTCTGAAGCAGATGAAAGAACTCTACAGTTCTTTAGACTTACCGTGTCAGGGTCCCTCGGGTGCTCCACAAACGCCGAGAACTCGACTAGCCTCAGTTTGTGGGTAGCAATGGCGCGTCCCTCCCAGGGAGGTGGCGGCGCCACGTCAGTCCCTCCAGGTACTCCCACTCCTCCCACTCCTGGGACTCCTTTGTAGCCTGCACCGGGGAACGGCTTGACACTGGAAGAAAGAGTTTGTTTTGTCAGTTTTGTTACCTATTTATTAGCAGCATGTTCAGCCTATCTAGGCTCTTTTTAAAAAAGAAACACGTATAAATCTTTGATAGGTACTACAGGAGTTGTAGAATGAGAGTTGGGATTTTTCAAAGTCAAAGTCAAAATTTCTTTATTTGTTTAGACTAATAAATAGTTCTTACAAATCTTCATTTTGCTCTTAAGGAGCCTCTACATGTCTCATCATCTTTTTACCCTACCAGCGCTTCGAGACCAACATTTGGCAAGTGCTGCATTTTGCAACAAATTCAGTCACCACTGTCTGCCGGTTAATATAAATAAATAAATAGGTTAGTCCCGTTTCTGATGCATTTTTTCATGAAATAAGTTAGTACCTACTGCATGTACCTACTTAAGTACGAGGATGTTGTGTTGTAAAAGGAAATAAATCCTTCTCGCATAGTGAAAGTATTGAAGTTACTATTTTTCACGTCTAAATAAGACAAGCTAGTTAAAAAACATAAATACTTACTCTTGTGATGTCCCAGCTTGTAAACCCGGTTGCCAGAATTGCTGAAAAAAAAAAACAAGAAAAGAAGTTGACAAGTTGTCTTATTACACACGGACAGACAAACTAAAGCTTAATACATTGTTATTTGCTCGTCGGTTAATTTGGCACACTTCAAGCGTGTGAAGTTGTTATTTTTTAACGTGTAATCAATTACAATCTACGTATTTTAGTAAGTGATCCCTAATTTCTAATGAAGAGTACAACAAATACATTTAGCTCGCGACAACTTGTGTCGGTCTCGTTTTAATGTTTTTTAAGTTTGTGAGTGAAGCAGCATTTCTGTTATCTGAACACTGCGCCATGCCGAGTTTAGAAGCGACAAACGTACACGACATGCTTATTCTAAGGCCATTTATAGGTGCTTAGCTGGGTTCTCCACTACATTGTCCACGATTTTTCTACAATTTTCCAGAATACATAGGCATTGTTTCATAACCAACAGTCTACCAAAAGAAATTGATTGCTGTCGCCAGCGACTCTACTTCAATGGCTAATGGAAATACAAGTTTTATAGTGTCCATTGAATTTATATTTCCAATTTATTTTAGTTCTGTAGGACCTATTCATCTTTGTCACTTATTCCAAGATGTAACATGACCGATAGAGACCGATACATCTAACGATCTCTCTCAACATATTCATCTCTATCTCTCACAGGGAGACGTTAAAATTTTGCGTAAGATACACGAAAAGAGCCTATCCGACACCCAACTTATTACTGGAGACCAAATTTTTAGTAGCAGTTGGCTGAGAACTGCAGATTGCCGGTGGCTACTGAGAGCTACAGTTATTGGTCTTTAGGATTAAGGATAGCTGTAATATCTTTAAGATTTATCGTAGTATGACTCCAGCCAAGCACCCAGGTGGCCCTAGTGTTAGCAAGTGCGGTACCGTGTGGTGGTAGGCCGGGTGCGGCAGGCCCGCCACTATCTGCGCGCTCGACAGCGTGCTCATCGACTGCATGGCTTTCTCTTTCATCATCCCCCCGTCCTGGATGTTCAGTTGTTTTTAGATTTCTTTTGTTTACACTCAAATTAGTAGTATCTAGGTATTTGTTCGCCCACGGTTCATAGGCTCATCATCTTAGATGTTCAGTTGTTTTGAGACTTCAGACTCTTACACCCGTATTCACAAATGATGCTTGCAATTGAACGCACAGCGTTGAATAGATCTCTGTGATTGGTTCGTGTGTCACCCTGTGCGTCCACGCGCACTGTGAGACCTCATAGTAATGTTTGTGAATACGGGGGAGAGAATCTCTACAGTCTACAGAAATATCTACTACTATCACGGTTTAAAGGCAGCTCAATGTGTTTATCAATAAAATGCTATCGATTACGCGAATTGAGTCACAACAAAAATGGCGTGATAGATAGTAGTTAAATATTTTACATAAACATCTGCACAATATCAAATCTACCGTAGAAGATATAGATAGCTAGCGTATTCGGTTCGTCTGCGACTGTCGCACGTTCTAAGGGAGCTTTAAGTGCTGGGATAAGTATTTCAAATGAATTGCCATTTCCTTTTTAAACGTTTGCAATGGGAATACCTAATTGAGTCCATAATAACATAAACAAGATAGATAACAGAAAGTATTGCTAAAGAAGAACGAACTTTTTAATATTTTACAACTATAATTTTTTTCATTATTCTGTTCGTCCGTAAAAAACAACCAAAGTATATTGAGAAATAAGTTCTTAATTACTGCTCATTTCAGCAACCGTCGTATATTGAAAAGCGAAAGGAACCAAATTAATAAACTTATTGTGGGCTATAAGCTTTTATACATTAATCTTGGCCATCCCCGGATCACGGGAAGGGTCGGGCAACGTCGACTCAAGTATGTCTACCTGGCTTATTAATTTACACACTAATCTACTTCAATGCCAGTAACATTTATTCAAGCTCTACTTATTGGCCATGTTTAATAAATACGTCATTTAGTGCTACAGTATCTAATAAAACATTTCGTGATCGAGTTTAAAACATCTGAAACGTTACAAGGTCTGTGACTGTGCTGTCGTAGAAAATTTTATTGACACATACAAACTGACTATGTATTGGTTAAATCATGTCTGCAATTTATTACACTCCAATTAAATTATACTTCAAATTAAACAAATTATTTTTCATTCTGTTACAGCTTTTAATGTAAAATATTATGATGACTTCGAATTTAATTGTTTCTAGTCCGTATGAATGTGACTCAAATTAATTTATTATCTATTGTGTCTTCTTTGCGGACAGTTATTCATTTAAAAGAAATTTTATTTGCCAAGCGAATCCCAGAAAATTGAATCGACTGTAATACTCGTAAAAGCGCAAATTTTAATATGATCATAGCCTACGTGGTAGATTCCACGGTATCGGTACCACGTTATAATAAAATTTTCACAGCGCCCGTAGTGACATGTAATTTTGCAAATAGGTAAAGCTGGATTATGAACATTGAAATCTAACTTTTTGTTCTGTAATTAATAGTAGAGTACACAAATCTTCGATTTAATCACTGTTTCAGCCAATTTTAATTTTTAATTTACAAAATTACCGGGTGTCTAAAGGCGCAGTGTAGGTATATGCAGATGATATTTCAGCTGTAAACTTACCACTTTGAGTTTGGCCTGTATTTCCCTTAGTTTTCTCCTAGCTAGCACCTGTATGTGCGAGGAGACTTGTTTCCTCGTGCGGGTCTTGCCTGTCCTTAGTTTTATATACCTCGCTATAAGCTCGTTCCTTCCTGGAAAATAATAATAACACGTTAATTTAATTAACATGCCGTTAATTCCGAACTATTTCAGGGGGGGAGGTATAAAATATTGGAACGTGAGTTAATTTCAATATACAGGTATTTTAAAACTCCGAGAGTTGTAACTGATTTGAACTTCAAGTCAGAGGTCCTCTTCTGTTATTTTCTGGGTTATATTAACTGAGATCAGAATCTAGTGATAGTTATTATAACCCGCCATATTTTGACATGGCTCAATTAATCAAGTCAGATACAAACTATACAGACGAATATTAAAAATGAACTGTTTTCATTAAACAATTTTGCTGACAATTTAAATACCAGCAGAGCAATAAATAATATGAAAAGGATCGGAATGCCAGTCAATAAACAAAACGGAAATTTTATTAATAAAGTTGACGGCCACCTAGCCTAGTACTTTGTGTTACTGGGCTAAAAAACCAGAGTGGTTACGCATTCGAATTCGGTTTAGACCATATTTTATATTTACCATATTTACCACGCGGGCCCAGTGAAGATTGGTCACCACAGTAAAAAATTGTTTTAGTCAACATACACTCCAGTAGGAGTAATAAAGTATTTATTGGAAGTAGTTCTTACTAAATTAATAACAAAGTTTGTAAGAACATAATTAAATGAAAAATTTACAACATGTAGAAAAAATAAAGTTAGAAAATACAGTTATTAGCACGTCACATATCAAAAATGTTGCCCCAGTTCATCCCTTGCACGAGTGTAAAAAGGGGTGAGAATCATGTGCCGATTGACATAACCGAGGAATAGTTGGGATGCCGAATCAGAGCGCACGTACAATGCGATTCGGCGCATCGCCCGCCGATCCGTTATGAAACAATTTTCAAAATATTTTGAATAGCTATTTTCAATGATTGAAACTGCAGCTCGTTCGGAATGCGGGGTGGATCGCCCAGTGCCAGCTGCCATTGTTAAACAATTTTCATTACCTAATAGATAGTCGGAAAATAAACATTGGAAACCGAAATTCGAGCGCTTTCAACCGTGGTTTTGTTTATTAAAAAGTTTTGGGAGATATTGTTTGTAGTAAAATTGAAACTGTTGGGGTAAATTTTATGATCGACACTGTAATACAGATGGGTGTCACTGAAAAACTTCTATTATACAGAAGCTAATAATGGTACAAGTAGGTAACGACAAGAACGCTAAATTGAGAATAAATCTTCCTTTGATTTCGAGTGGTAAATAAATTGGACATCCTCATCATTGTTAATTTTAAATCGCAGCTGCAAGTGTAAGATTTATAATCTAGAACCAAATGATCCACTCCATTCAACATAAAAAATAAAGCCAATAACATTTCACAAGCCGTCAAATACACTGTAGAGACTAGAGAAAATGTATCATGTTGTACATGAAGCCTAAAAGAAACTAGAGCGCTGATTCGCTCCAATACTCGACTGTATTCATTTGCGGACAGCAAAGGAAGACCAGACCAAAGTAAATTGAAATCTCATTGAATTCGGGGAATGCGATGGCGACGAGAGCCGGCTGGTGCGAATTTAATTAACCCTTGCTTGCTTGTTGAGGCGGACGCGTATGGACTAACTATCCGTACGCTACTGCTCGCTCGAATTTCGCTATGGTAAAGGACGGTTAAAGATTTGAAAATGTTCCGTCGATGGTCAATGCCTAAAAGTCTCTTTGTAGAGTCGGGCGGGAAAATTTTGAATTTGAAATTTTTCTTACAAAAAATGAATTTAGTTTGATGTGCCCTCGTATGTAGTTCGTTTTAACATCCTTTTTCATAAAAAAAATGAAAGATGTTTTGTCACTTTCCATGCAGTAATGTTGATTTTATTGTAATGAAAAGGGAAAATACTGTGATGTAAAGTTGGACACAGTATTCATGATTTCTCGGGATGCTTTTTATTAAAAGAACTAGAATTTATTTGTATCCCTTTATCATTAAAGATTTTTATGTGATCTGTACTGTTCTCGACCAAGTACCTAATTAATAAGAATAACAAAACATCTTTTAGGTTTCAAGTCTTCATATTTTTCATTTGTTTTATCCCTACTTATTTCCGAAGATGAGAGCTCAAATTCAAAACCAAAAATTATAATTCTACCTTAATTCTGCCATTAAACTCGAAATTAAAGAGTCGACTACGAGCTCGCAAAAGAAACTCTTGAAGACTGTTAAGGCAAACATTCTTGAAATCGCTCCGAAATTATGGCACCGTCGTAAACTTTTCACGGCGGGTGTTAAGCTAAAATTAGTAAGTGCGGCCACTCTAACAAATTACTGTTAGGCCGAATTAGTTAGAGGATAAACACACCGAATAAACGTGGCTTCCATGTGACATCGGACGCGAATTAAGAGTGCTTTCACCCGAATCGTCGTATGCATCTCTATTAATAGCGGTGCAGAGGGATCAACTCGGGACGTTTCTATTCCACACAGAGTAGAAAAACAAGAACAAGAGATCATTATTTATTAGTTCGTTAGTTGGTTAATTTGGTCCACTGCCAGCGCTCTCGCGCGCTTCAGATGAAATTGTGCGTGCGCGCGCCGCGTATGAATATTAAACAATTTCTTCAGTTACATTCAAAATACCATTTTCATTTATTTAATCACTTCGACATTGATATCTTGTTCGAACGTCTTTTTTTATTTACGTTGTAATGTGGGCGTATATATTTTTATTATACTTTTCAGCTATAAATAAAACGGATTTATTACTACTTATGTAATTTATTCATCAACTAAGGTATTGGAGATCCATCAGAAATACATTAACGCCGTACCTACTTGCGGATGGTCTCATGATTGTTTTTCGGCTAGAATTTATGCGTTTACATTATGATGAAATAAACCATTTAGTGATGATATTTAAACTCAAAATAATGATTTCAAGTTCAGAAAACCTCATGGTTTTCTAAGGCAATAAAAGATATGAAAGAGAAGATTAAAAATAGACGTTGCAAAAAGATTTCAAGTCGAGCATAAATTTCGGTTCAAAGAACCATGCCCAATAAAAGAAACATTAGAATTTGACTTGTATCTGGATTCGTGGAAGAAATTCACGCTGACCCAAACAGGAGCTATGCGATGCGAATCCTACGAAAGGGTTGCGACGGGTCTAAGGAGGATTTCTTGGGAGACAATCGGGAGTTATGCCCAGGGCGGGCGGGGCGCTAAACAACGGGTGGTGGCCCGCCCCTTCTTTATATTTTCTTACTGCGTTCGCCGCCTAGCGGCGCGGCCGGGCCCCTTACACGCTCGCTCGCTCACTAATTGCGCATTCTTCGCATAGTTTAGCCCTCCCGAGCCCCCCCACCCCCCCGGACCACGTGAAGCCGTGCGCCGACGAAACTTTCATACTCCCAGGATATTGAGCGGTTTTGAATGTCTTAACTCACGAACACGCCACAGGAGTAGCAGCAGCAAGGCTTTGTTCGCTGCAACGCACCAGTAACTTCCCACATGCAACTATTACGCGAGTCCCAAAGTCCCGACTCCTAATCACAGGTTAAGATGCGATTGATTGGAATAGTTCCCGTCACAGTAATTATAACAATCGGGATCTCTATTAGAAGCACAACAAGGTAACATGATAAGGGAACTTCGGGTACTGGAGTTCTGTGAAGTGCTTGATCGGCTTTGGAACGTGTCGGACTTTTGCGGATTGTTTTTGTTTGTACGTTGAAACTTTTTGTCTGTCTCTATCTTGTGTTCTATCTCAGTCTTACATACTGTTGCGTGCAAGTGATTTTTATTTTTATCTGTTACCATGATTGCAATAGTCTACAATGGCGAAATTAAGTGCAAACATTAACTTTTTTACATTCACAAAACAAAACCCAGCCGTTGAGAATAGAAGTGAGATATTCCAAGTAAGAACTCCAGTGATTCTGTTCACGAAACATGAATAAATGCTCGACATAAGTAAACGTAAGAATACGACGTACATTTTCTTTTTATATTTTCGAGTCACATTTCAGTTAGTTACTAAACCGGGAAACGTGTGTGGAAGAGCCTACATTATAAAGCTTGAAGCGAAGTGAGATAAGAAAGTCTTACAACTTTCAAACTGTAATTCCTTTTGAAAGCGTTTATTTCCGCGAATCAAGCAAGTAACGACACTTACTCCTAGAGCACGTCGAAACTCAGAATAAAGAAAAATAGTAACGCTTTCCAGTTCCTGATTCTACTCTTATTGTGAAGCGTTTCCAGTTACGTCTTGTGGAAACGTGAATGAACACAAAAATACGACCATTCTTGAGTTCCATAATACACTGAAGAAAGCGGGACGACAAGGGTGTAAGCTAGATTTAGATGAATCTATTTATAGAAAGAAAACACGAAATTATTTTTTTAAACTGCCACTTTGTTTAGTTCAGTTGAACTTCATGCAGTCGATATTAATTCTCAAACTTTATTCATATCTTTTTATTTGATCATTTTGCCAAGACTTGTTTATCTTTTGAGTCATCTTTTTAAGAAACAAATAACCTACAACCGTTAATACCAAATGCTAATAAGAGTTTTGAACTTCAAAAAATATTTTAAGGTCAACATTATAAGAATTACACAGCTCTATTATTTGTTCGCATTTCCACCCTCGATTTACAATCTCTACACGCCTCTTTAATAGGGCTACAACAAATACAGTTGTGTTACTCAGTAATTAACAATAACATTAAAACCTGTGGCTGTACAAGCCTACTGATCAAAGTCAGAAGTCAAGAAGTGACAACTCCGTAGTAAAATAAGACTGAAAATAAAAGACAGCTACGAAAGTCGACTCTACAGAGGGGTGAGTGGACATGAGAGGACAGAGGGTGTCTTCCAGTCGCTAGATTAAGCTCCGCGGGACACGTCCGCGAGTAATGTCGCCATATATTGTCCACGACGCGCGACGCAATTATAGTGTACCGTCTAAATATAGGGTCCTTTACATTTTATTGGGCAATGTAAGTGTCACGCAATAAAGGGAATAATGGAGCATCAGCACACCCTCCATAAGCAATTGACAGCTAAATGTGATTGATTTGGAGTTTAATTGTGCTTCAAAAAGGAAATAAGCAATGGATACGTGCATTGAGTTTTAAGTCATTAATCCTTCAGGCAAGTAAAAAAAACAAAGGACAATAGTTTTCAGTGGCTTGTGGTTCGCGTGGTGGATATATTTCTAAAATGTCATACGAGATGCTTTCTTCAGCATTCACCCAGTAAAGGGCTGTGATAATTAAATCACGATGGCACAAAAATGCTCAGCATCCAAGTAACCCTCCAAAACGACCTGTACCTCTAATTTCGTCCAGAATCCGGTTAAGATTTAGCAATTAAAACATGGCATTTCTTTCCGTCTATTAAATCACTTAAGGTGGACACATCGCTTGTGGCGAATTTGTTTAGTAATTCCATTTGGTGGGACGGGCAGTCCTTTAATTAAAAGCGAGCTTAATGTGCCCCGAGTAATGGGTGTCCGGCTGTAACGCCTAGCCCTTAGTAGTAATTGTCTGACGTCAATTGTTTTCCACGATATTAAAATACACTACGTTACGGCACTGATCGTTGACTTCGCTAGTGTTTAGTGTTTAGATCCTAATGGTATGTATAATGTTTTCATTTGAGCTTTCAATGATATGACTTGGTCAAGGGCAGATTTCTGATGCTACTATATCATACTAGCGGATTGACATACCAAAGTACAGTCATACTTCTTTATTTTCTGAAAATCTGTTGAAAGCTTGCATTGTCCTCAAAGTTCGAGGGAGCAAAATATACATACAAATATGTCAGTCTGACTTAGGAATCGAATCCAAGACTTCGAGGTCGTCTGAGTTAAACTCTTCAGCTACTGGGTCTATGGAGACGTTAAAACAAAGGTTCAATTCACTCCTGAATTCGTGACACAAAACCAAACAGTTTCTCGGAATATTACCGATTTTTGATAAAAAAATCCAGGCGAAATTCCTGGAAATGGATTTGCTACAGTATTTTATCATCGTACAATAATCTTTCAAAATTCAAATTTCTCATTTTCACCACCAATATCTTAGAAAACAAGTCATATATAACAGAAGCTGAGGATTTCCCCAGCTGTTAATTTACCGAGGGCAAAAGGTTTATTTTTGTAGCAATCGTCACGTCGCGTTAACGAGCTTCCTTAACACTGTAACGTGAAAAAATTCGCTTTCCACGCTGCTCTTAGGGGCTTTTGTTTATATCGAGTTTAACACTTCCCAAGATCATAACCGCCATAATTAAAATAACTCCGACGCTTCCTGGCTCTTAGATGAGTTTTTAACTAATCAGCTACTTAAAATTCGCTTTCTAAATTGTTAAAGTCAAAATCGGATGTTTAACGCCATCAAAAGATCCTTTGTGTTAATTGTATGCAACTCATCTCAGCAGAAATTCAACGACAAAATTAATAATCTCACAACAATCAGACTTGATGGTGTAGAACTGTAGATGCCCCGGTTAAATGAAGTTATAATATGATTAAATACCTTTTGAATTAATATTTGCGAACGGGTGAAGCACACGTACTTTCCACGAAATCGGGACTCGGTCAGATCGAGATAATTATTGTCGGTTCACGTCTCCCCGGAATCCTATTGCGCAAACCGCTTTGTCGGCTCGGCATCAATACCTATGGCTTTGTCTCGTGCCTCGGCCATTGTTCATTGGCCTTGATACCGCTTCATAATACAACAAAATTGACATGTACGCAATGTTGGAGTAAGCGGTCCTCGATTCGGGAGGTTACACGCGTGAGCGCGGTGAAAGTGATATGCTGAATTCATTACGGGTCAATTGTTTTAGCGCTTAGAGAAGTTTCATCCTTCATTTACTTCTGCTCAATTGGAGGGGCTCATGCTTCTTTAGTGGAGACTAAAATTAAGTGACAATGATATAAAAGCTATCAAATGGGTAAAGCATACATTGCATGAAGAGCAGTCCAAATTTTGTCCAATAACAGATTCGAGTTTGGATGATAAGCACTAAAGGGCTTAAATGAAGTACCGCGCACGCCTGGACTTGCTGTTCATAAAGAGCAGTGAGCTTTGCCATGGAATGGGATTAAACCAAACTTTGTCCAATAATGGGTTGACTTTGGTCGATGATAAAGTGCTAAAGGGTACTCTAACATGTCCGGACTCACAGTACATCTGCATGAACAGAAACGGAAAAAATAAACAATCATACAGTGCAGTGACGTGCCGTTTGCCGTGGATTTGGATTAATCCAAATGGAGTGACGTTGGCTGATGATAAAGTGCTAAAGGATGCATGTCCGGACTCACCGTACATACATAGATAGCAGTGAGCTTTGCCGTGGAAAGGGATTCAACCAAACTTTGTCCAATAATGGGTTGACTTTGGTCGATGATTGAGTGCTAAAGGGTACTGTAGCATGTCCGGACTCACCGTACATAGACAGTATTGAGCTTTGCTGTTTATTGGGATTAAACTAAGCTACGTCTAATAACGGAGTAACTTTTGTCGATGATGAAGTGCTAGAGGGTATTTTAGCATGTCCGGAGTCCGGACTCACCGTACATAGATAGCAATGAGTTTTGCCGTTTATTGGGATTAAAATAAACTTTGTCCAATAATGGGTTGACTTTGGTTGATGATGAAGTGCAAAAGGGTTCACTGCATATTATGTTCGGCGGACTCATCATACATACATAATGGGAATGGGATTAACCAAACTTTGTCCAATAATGGGTTGACTTTGGTCGACAATGAAGTGCTAAAGGGTACTCTAACATGTCCGGACTCACCGTACATCTTGCCCTCATCGGAGAGGATGATCTTGCGCCGGCCGCAGGGGGGGTAGATCGCCAGCGCCTCTTGGAAGCTCTGTTCGATGTCCGGACTCCATACTCCTTCCGCGTCCGCCGCCGACAAGTCCTGGAAATGCGGTTGATAGTCAATAGATAGAAAGATCAAGAAGAAAGCTTCAACCACACCAACGCGTGCAGTGTGCCTACCATGAGTTTACGTTAGGTGAGCTCGCTAGCGAATACGTCAAACAATTCTATGAAGATTTTATTTCTTGAAAGTAGCCGCTAGGGGCGCTGCACAATATGTCATACATTTAAATGTCATTTTTTTACGCAGTCGCTAGCGAGCACACCTAACGTAAACTCATGGTAGGCACACAGATCGCCCGGCGCGATCATAAGCCAATGACAGGTCGCGCGACCCATGACAGTACGCGCGATCTGTCATTGGCCAATCTGCACGTGTTGATGTGGTTGAAGCAGAAGAAGGTACGTGTATAAGTGCCTTAATAAGGGCCTACAATCTCTTATTTATCTACGAGTAGTGATAAATAAGATATTGTAGGCCCTTAATTAATTACACACCACACCCAATTGGCAAATAAGTACAATAAAAGGAATACCAAATTTAAATAGATTAGGGCTATCGTTAGAAGCTCTTTCAGACAATTCAGGGAAATAACAGTAATTTAGGATAAAAGGTACATTATTTCACGGACTCATTTGTTTATTTTCACTTCTTTTTATAGGCGATAAAGTGAATCATTAGCGAAAAATCTTTTGCTTGCCAAATCATGACTTCACAAGACAAGAAATACATAATTTGTAAAATTCCGTGTGCGAAATCAAATTAATCTTACTACTCTTTAGAAAGACCATTAATAATTGCTTTTGTAATAATAAACAACTTCAAACCAAAACATTATCTATAGCATCTATGTTTACTTCGATCTATCTTGTCAACATCGAGCTCATTTCGAAGTAATTTCCTTGTGTTTAATCTCGAATTAAATTGCGCAATCAATTAAAGGGCACATCCCAAAACGCGATTTAGTCATAAAACGATGTTGTAACGTTTGATGTTACGCCTTTTCGCCTCAGATTCGGATACAAGGTGAAATTTAATACAGTAGGCTTCTGCTTTATTACGAGGAAATACTTGATACAATGCAGTAGATTTTACGTTAATTGATAAAAGTAAACAAACTACCTACATCGTTTTCATTTCATAAACACACAATAGCTATTAGTATAATTTTATCAACATTTCATCAAGGAAAATTAAATACATAGTTAATTTTCTACGAAAAAATTCAATAGCTGTATCTTTGAAAGCTCTATATTAATAAACAAATTAATAAAGCTTATCTTTGAGCGATGTTGGCGAGTCAAAAAAAAAGCATAAGTGCTAATCACAAACATTACTATGACACACGAATCAATCACAGAGCTCTATTCAACGCTGTGCGTTAGATTTGCTGCTTCACTTAAGCAAGCATCGTTTGTGAATACAGGCATTAGACACAAGATAAAAACTTGAAAAACTTCAAGCACTCATGTTCTTTGCAATTCCCCAGACTTGGAAAATGAAGTATTACATGTTCCTTACTGAGCCTGCTGTTAGAGTAGGCGCACACCGTTGATTTTTCGTCGGCCGATAGTTTAGTCGGGCAGTTGATCAGTATGGGCATGTATGGGAGTGCGCACACTACGCTGATTCGATTTGGCCGATTCTTCATACAATTTGAAATCGGGCACAACTATCGGCCAACTAAACGGTGTGCGCCTACTCTTACAGTTTCAGTTGCGCACAAAGCGTGGAGTGCGTCATTGTAATTAATAGACTCGCTTCTATTCTCAAAAGAAAATAAAAATAACCGCCCTCGTCTTGGTCCGGCGTCGAAAACATCGTGAATCACGGTTCCTTGAAACCACTCGAAACGAACGTTTCTGTTTTGGTTACACTAACCGGAGTCAATATTTACGGGTTAATTCCTACAGAAATTAGTAACCCACTTTAATGACGACTGAATTTATTGTCTGTTTAGTTTAGTTCATAGAGATTTATTAATTCTTTGGTAACGGTGATCACATTCATGTTTGATATTAGTAGGATGTATTGTGAAACAATTTAATCGTATGTGAAAAGGAAGAATCTACATAATTTAAATATTGATATTAAAAAGTTCCTATTTATAGAAATGCCCGGCTAATTCTCGTCAAACCGCGTTATCCTGTTACAATATTAATATTTGGCTATTGCCTATGTGCTGTATTAGGTACCTCCTACCTGGTATCATATTTGACCGACATTCTGTGGTAGAGACCAAAAGTAGGTAGCAGTATCAGATCAGCGCCTGAGTGGGGGCAATATATGGGCAGAGTTAGCGGCTGTCGCTAGCATTGCCGGGTAACGATTATTTAGCGATAATTTAGTATTTTAGGCTATGGGGCCGTGTGGTAGCGGCAAAGTTTAATAGCATCATACTTACTATTCTTCTAGAAAAGTCGAAAATCAGGGTTACTTAATCCCAGGTGGGATAAGAGCCAGCGCGGAAACATAGAAACTTCTTTCTATGTTCTGTGGTGGAAAGTGTAGGCAAAATCCTCTACTTGTAGAAATAGAAGAGGGCAGCGCTGCAGCGTGGACCTGATGATGATCAGGGTATTCTAGGGTTGTGGCAGTACCTTCTCGTTGACATCCAGGTGCTTGGCGTCGGCGCCGCCCGAGCCGTTGGTGTCGGATCTGGCGAGCCCTTGGTATCGGAGCCGGCGAACCTTTGCCGTCGGGTGACTTTAGCCCGTTGTCTAAAGTAATAAGGTTCAGTTTACCTTCTCGTCGTCGCTCGCATCGCCGACATCCAGGTGTTTGGCATCGGCGCCGCCCGGCCCTTTTAGTTGGGCAACTCTAGCTCGTCGTCTAAGGTAATAAGGTTCAGTTTACCTTCTCGTCGTCGCTCGCATCGCCGACATCCAGGTGTTTGGCGTCGGCGCCGCCCGAGCCTTTTATGTTAGGCAACTCTAGCTCGTCGTCTAAGGTAATAAGGTTCAGTTTACCTTCTCGTCGTCGCTCGCATCGCCGACATCCAGGTGTTTGGCATCGGCGCCGCCCGAGCCTTTTATGTTAGGCAACTCTAGCTCGTCGTCTAAGGTAATAAGGTTCAGTTTACCTTCTCGTCGTCGCTCGCATCGCCGACATCCAGGTGTTTGGCATCGGCGCCGCCCGAGCCTTTTATGTTAGGCAACTCTAGCTCGTCGTCTAAGGTAATAAGGTTCAGTTTACCTTCTCGTCGTCGCTCGCATCGCCGACATCCAGGTGTTTGGCATCGGCGCCGCCCGAGCCTTTTATGTTAGGCAACTCTAGCTCGTCGTCTAAGGTAATAAGGTTCAGTTTACCTTCTCGTCGTCGCTCGCATCGCCGACATCCAGGTGTTTGGCATCGGCGCCGCCCGAGCCTTTTATGTTAGGCAACTCTAGCTCGTCGTCTAAGGTAATAAGGTTCAGTTTACCTTCTCGTCGTCGCTCGCATCGCCGACATCCAGGTGTTTGGCATCGGCGCCGCCCGAGCCTTTTATGTTAGGCAACTCTAGCTCGTCGTCTAAGGTAATAAGGTTCAGTTTACCTTCTCGTCGTCGCTCGCATCGCCGACATCCAGGTGTTTGGCATCGGCGCCGCCCGAGCCGTTGGTGTCGGGCGCGCCGGCCGGCGTGCTCCATGGAGACGCAATGGTGCCGGCTGCGAGCGCACCGCTCGCTGAAACAATTAAAAAGAAAGGTTAGTTATAACTTCTACTAAACTATTTCGTTGCGGGTCCAATAATTTCCCGCCCCGGAACAAACTTGGCCTTCACTGGTTGGGTTTTTATTGATGGTCAAGCTGTCGATCCTGGCTACACAGGAGTTGCAGCGAATAGTAGGTACCATCTCAAATAAAGTTGTGTTCTACATAAACTGGATTGCAAAGTGAGGGACACCTCGCCGACTACAAACTGGTGGTCGACGAAGTCTGTAGTTTGGGTGTCAAGGCTTTCTAAGATGAGATACAAGATTTTGGGTTAAAACATTTTAGGTCTTGTTATTTAATTAAATGAAGGAATGGAGATAATATTTGTTATTATTCACGTCATTCAACGTCTATGAAAACTCTACATTACTAATTAATATCATTGATCACTTGAAAGACAAGAAAGTTATTTACTTATATTGGAAGTAAATCTGCTAAAAGCTGAACCATTTTCAGCATCTAAATACTCGTAACTGAGTTTCTTTTTACTCTTTTTCCGCAACACAAACTAAACCCATTTGGCTAACGCGTTACATTTCACCTGAGCATTCGGAATAGTAAAAACCGCGTCAAATCGGACTACATCTTGTTGTTTGTTTGTTGGCGAGAGTGGACCATTGTTACTATACTACAATGTCAGACAGATGAGTTGGGGTTAAGCAGGAGATACACTGAATAGTTAAGTGTAATAAAATTGGAATAAAAGTGAATTGCTATGTATCCCGAATGAAGGCTTTGATCTCTAGTATCTACAGTTTGTTTTATAAAATACTTATACCTAGATTTATAGCTGCTTGGCTTCTGAAAAAAGTACCTACGAACGTGTCTTTTTCGTAGTAACCAGGAACAGAAGTCGGTGAAAGGTTGAAGAGGAGACCCTAAAGGCTACTACTACTACTATAGATAGATAAATAGATAGCATCAAGGAAGTTGTGTGTGTGTACTTACTTGTACCTGCTACTGCAGGTAATAAAAACCTGTCATTTAATTAATTGCGTCATGGTAACTATTCATATAAACTAACTAACTAACCACTGACCGAATACAGTGTGTCTCTACCTTTACCAGCGCTGCAACTGCCATGAATCATGTCAACATTTGTCGAAGTCAACGTAAGTAATTATCGCTGTGGTTTCACACAAATAGACTCGCAAGTACCCACAACTCCATTCAAGTGATGCAATCGCTGCGGGATACCGGGAATTAATTATTTATATTAATTGAGGAAGATGAGTGTTTTATTTAAATATACAGGCTGTTGTAGAAATACTACGTTACACATCGGGGAGGCCTATGTTCAGCAGTGGACGTCCTGAGGCTGAAATGATGATGATATTATTTCGATCAAAAATTGATCGAACGTTACACATGAATTTTAATATACGAATAAATTAAATTAATTTGTTTAACTACAAACAGTTTTAACCTAAGCATGGAGGTGGCTACGAAAACCTCAATGAAAACTCGTAAATACCTATGACCTACACTTTCATTACCCTTGCTTCATATGACATAGATAACTCTTTCAGTTTTCAGTTGAAGTCAGAATGGGATGCCCTATTTAAAAATCTATTAAGTTCCCCATTTATATCCTTGTTTATTTCCTGTAAATGAAGCGCAGAGCTATAATCTGTTTGCATTTATTAATGGAAATATTGTTTCAAAATGATACACATTTGTAAAACAGTGCTTTAACCGTATTAGAATTGAAATAAACATTGCTACATCCAAAGAAATTCATTAACTCATAAAGTTTCATCTTTGAGCGGCCGCCCTAAACTTCTAAAAGCGCTGTAAAAGCAAGCAGCGTGTAATAGTTCAGTGCGGTTGTCTGACGTCACAGAGTTTGTCGAATGCGTGCGAGTAAACTTCCAATCGCATTGTCGATATAATACAGTTAGCAACCTGCCAATACTGAGATAAACGCTCGATCCAAAGCTAAATAGTTTCAGCTTTAAGCTAGCTCATTGAAATAGCTCACGAGCTAGTGGCGTAGGAACATACCTAACCCCACAAAGTTGTTTGCGTTACGGTGGCCATAAAAAAGCCCTAATCCCAGACATAAACGGGAATACACAAATGTTAAATACCTACGCGAACGCGTGCCGCCAAGAATGTTTATCCAACAATGAAACTGAAAAATTCAATCTGCTCTTACCGAGAAGGAAATTTTCTTAATACCAAATATAATCTTTGTTTCCTCGAGCCGAGGTCGTAGGCATTCCGGAAATTTTCATATTTACTGCTAGAAATATGCAGGTACGAAATGTTTACAGTATAAATATAATATCAAAACAGAGAATTTCTTTATGAAGATCAGATCCGCGGAGGCAAGTATTTGCCCGCCTTGTGACGCTATTGCCTTTCGCTACTTTATAAAATCTTATCTCTCACTACATACCGGAATCGTATTTTTATCAAAAAATTTTTGCAACTGTGCGTTTCATATCTGAGTTTGAATGCACAAGTTTTATTCCAGTTAGTATGTCAGTTGCGTAATACGAGAAAGCTCATAACATAAGATTAAATTTAATGCATCAATTTAGACTTTTAACTGGGTGATATTCGATATTTAGATCAATCACAGGATCTATGACTGAGATTGAGAATTTTAAGCGTTGTTTTGTAAATACGAGAGATAAAAGCTAACCGTGTAATGTTCAGATACTTAAATAAGTATTTAGATGAGAATAATAGTTGTAAATTATAAACAGCATTAATTATATCCTTCGTTCTACTTTCCATTACATTGCGGAAATAATATTTATTTTCTACACAACCATTCACTTCCTTTGAATGAAAGTACATTAAACGTTTAAAAGTATTAATGGGGATGTTGCCTGGGTCAAAAAGCAAGAGTTTTAATTAGTCCGTCAGTTAACTTATCAAAAAATACTCTACACGTATTTTTCACTTTTTCAAACTAATGAAAATTTAAAGAGATAAAGCGCCCCAAAGTTCATAAGAAGAGGCCCGTGACGTCAACGCTTGCTTAAAAATGCCGCACGTTGTGACGTCGTGCGCAACTTCAACGCACCATAACTATGTAATTATTTGTTAGATTGACAAATAAAAATATATGTGTCCAATATTTTTTGATATTAAACATTACGGACTAAAAAAATTTTTTTAGGCAACTAGCCTATTGTACCTACTTTGTTTAACCATTTAAACCATTTAAGAGAATCGTTCTTTCCTTCCCTTTGAACAGAGTGTGCTCATATTATTTCATATAATATTTATATTATTAAGTATTAAGGGAGAGTCCGCTAATTTGGACCAGTTTTTTTCAATCCCATTTTACACATAGTTTTCTTTTGTTTTTGCTAATGTCCATGGTATATAATAAAAGATACATTATTCAACTTACTATTTCATAAGTATTAATTAACATGATTGTTGTAAATTTAGCACAAATCAACAAAGTAAGAGTTCAGAGCTTCGGTCCAATTTAGCCAACCGGTCCGATAATTTGTACCACAGGGTTACTAAATTGGATTTCAATAAATTTCAAGCCTATAAAAAAACTATGTCAAAATATTATACGATACATTCTTAACAAATTAGGAAACGAAAAGGAACAGTAGTTAATAACATAGACAATCGATATTGATTTACACGTTATCACGATTTTGAGTACAAGTTTTGTAATTCCAATTATCGTAACGCACACTTGTACTTAATCTACTTTGCCAGTCTTTTGCTTTCATTTGTTGTTAGTCAAACATAACTACGCTATTATAAATTCAAAATATTATTTACTAAAAAAAAAATCAAAATCCTTTGGTTAAGTTCCATACAACTTGATGTGGTACAATTTAGCCGACTAGGTGATAGTGCTTTTAATTAAATTTTATAAAAAAAAATAAAACCGACTCCNCCACATGGCCGATATTAATTGATTTTAGTTGTGTATGGCTGAGTGTTGCAATTACAGACATTCATTAAATACTTTACGAAATATGAGGGTGGTACAATTTACCCGGCGGTACAATATACCGAACTCTCCCCTAATACGTCATAACAATTTTTATCGCAACGTTATGAATGTACTCGTACGTCAGATTTTATTAACAGGAAAACGGCCTGATCATTTCATTAAGTAATTATGTATTTCAGTACAATAATAACAATTAATAGTTCGATATAATGCGTATTAAGTTTAATTTAACACGCATGATAATATTAATTTTTGTTTAACCTGCAATGATGCAGTCAACAAGTTATAAATTATAGGTACCTACTTATACAATAAAAGCGAAACCTTATAGAGGCACTATGAGCTTTATTGACAAGGAAATCGGATTTACCTAAAATAAGTACCTACAATCCGTTGTATTGTGTGTACCTACAATTCGACAACATTAGAAACAGACAATGTTCTTGCCTTCATTTGTTTCCATTTCATTAAATGGAAGATTCTTTTGGCCTCAACTGCATCAAAGCGTTCAGTAATGACACGGTACAACCGCGATACCATGGCGTTCATGATTGTCCCCGTAATATCCGCCGATGTAGTGTCAAGTGGCACATAGAGGGTTTCAATTAGTTCAATTCTAGTGACTAATACGAGCTGCGCTCCGCAAAGGGAGCGTAACGTGCAATAATTAAAATAATAAAGCACCCGGCCTTTGTGGACGTATGACAAGTGTCCGCAATAAAGGGCCTGGGTGTAGGGCTGTATTTTCAATCTTTTCCGGGACGAATTAAAGCTTTTTTTTACATAGGGACAAAGTCACTTGCTGGAAAGTCGAAGCGATTAATGTTCTCCTTAGTTTTAAGATTAGCAGTAGCATTTTGACATCTCTTTTAATTACGTATTTGGTTCCCTTTTAGTTTAAACGACTGTCACTTTCCCTGGGTTTGGAGGAAACGGTTTTTAGGGATAAGACCGCCTAAATTGTGCCATTTCGGTGCTATTTGTCTGTTTTGTGTAGTGTGCGAATAAAGAGTATAATATTTTGTAGCTA